GTGATCACAAAAATCGTATTAATTGTGGTTCTTGAAAGTTATGTCCTCTATTGTTCGGATTTTTCATACTGTATTCATAATCTTCATTTTGCCATTACCGGGTCAATAAACAAAATATTGAGCACAAAGCACTTTGGCGCTGGCTGATATTTAAAATGGAATTTCATTAAACTTTCTTCTGCCACTTGCTCAAATGAAAATGTTACAAAAACTTGTTTCTGTTGAATTGTTGCACTGTTTTCTCTACAAAATTAAGGTTTTTTTGTTTCATTTTTTTTACACCGAGGCAGCCGCGCAAGTGAACTCTTCATGCCAAAGCACCGCGGCTGCTTTCAGGAGCTTGAAGAAACTTTGTAATTCCCATTTTTGAACTTCCTAAACTTAGTAGAACTGGGAAAATCTCCTCATGTAGATTGTTACATGATCTCGACACCCTCGGGACAAAGGAGCGGTGTTAACGGCCAGTTCTGGATGTACGAAGTTCGACACGCTTACGATGGGAGGCCGAAGTCAGGTAGGCACATCGCGGAGCGACACCATGGGAGAGAGCTCTGAGGAGTAAAGCCCGTTGGCGTAGCTAGATCGCCAACGGCCCGTTGGTACGAAGATGTCCTGAGACCCTCCATTAGAGAAAAGTTCATCAAATGCCTCTTGCGAAGCAATTTTATCCCTTAAGATAGTTCCGACACACTCTGATACCTCTCACTGTCACTGGTTGACTGGTGTCCTCTGATCTGTCAGAAGGTTCTGTACGAACAGCGGATTAGCGGTCGGCAAACCGTCAGAAACTGTACGAACAATGGAATTCTATCAGCATGAAAACCACAGAATATTTTTCAGGTGTTAGATTATTCATATCATTATTGAATATGTAGCAAGAAAAGTATAATCTATAAAATTAGGCAAATGTATTATAGGATAATAGATTGAGGATTTGCTAACAAAACTCATATAGATAATACAAAAATTGATACTCAAAACAATATACCTATAATCGACCAATGCTTTCCCTTGCGATATGATCTATCTAGAAATTAAAATACTTGACTTTCAACAAGCATGCTTTTTCCACCACTTATTATTATAGTTTCGACACATGAAACAAAGACAGCTTACTAGTACCATTACCAGAAAAAAAACACATTACAAAGATCATATGCATTCTTGGCTCCATTATCTTATAATTTACTTCCACCATAAATAAAGAAGAACAATAATATAAATACAGTCAAAGAAATGGATACTGTCCAAAAATCGATCATTCTTTCATAATGCGAATGATATAAAAATCAGCTATCTAAAATAATACAAAATACTTAAATAATTATGACAAATCTAATACCCGATTGAGACATTAAAAGATAAAATCGATGATATGAAACAGACAAGATGCGTCCTAAATGTAATTACCAGCCCATAATCCCATAAAATCAATAATTATCGTTCCCTCAAATATATTTTTTCTTTGTGTATGTATATCGTATCACTATAATAGTTGAAACTTAGATTTTCCTTATTCAGCATACTTTTTTGTCTACTCATATTTTACTAATTTTAGCTAATATACAATATTATCTTTCATGTAGGTTATGTGTTCCTTAGTAGTTAGTTAGCAATTACCACCCACGTACAAGGAATATATGATCCTTTCTATGGGTACTTATTCATACGAGTATTTTATGTTATTATTATTATCATTATTATTATTGTCATTACTATTATTTTCTGACAGAAAGTTCTGGTATGTAGTTAGTCATTGTTAGAAAAAACCGCTTATTTCTCGAAACCGGCAGTTATTTTTACTCGTATATTAAAGATATGCCAAACGTTCCAAAAATAAGTTGTCCATTAAGACAAACGTAATGGATGAGCTTGACTACTACCACTATCCATTTATTTATTCAACAAACAACGTCTAGCCTTCACCTAAGACAAAATAATTGCTAGCTATAGCTAGATAAACATAAAATAAATTGTAGTTAATCAGAGCAACAATAAAATGTTTGCGTCCCAACTGCAGCTAGTCATATTTGTTCAACAATTAAATTAAGGTAAATCAAAATTTGCTATGTCTATATCAGGTGTTCCAAACTCGATCGTCACCACTGGGATAGCTAAGTAAATGGCACTTAGAAAGTTTGGCAAGTCGGAGTATTTCCGAAGACGAAGAAAAAAATGATTTTTTCGAAAATCGTTATTATTTTTGCCTCACTTCACTTGAGACAGAATTTTAACATAAATTCAACATAAGCATCGTCCTTTTTCCTCCTTTACATGACAGCATAATTAGAATTTCAACCTGAAGTTTCGTTTCTTGTTTTTATATTTTTACGGATGCTCCATTGGATTTTTGCATAGAACAAAATTTAGTGTACGCCTTCAAATTATCAGATAATCATTTGTTTTGTAATATCATTCGGTGAGCCCTCAATTTTATATGAACTTGGCATAGGTAAAAAGTAAGTCATATTCCTATAATTCGTCTCAACTCGACTCTTAAAGAACAACAGAATATTATTAGATACCATGTAAAAACCTTGACTAGGTACGAGTACCGGCTGCTAAACGCATGTCATGCACACATCTTGCATTCAAATAGTATTAACCTACGGCGGTGTGTTGTAGGAAGGCTCTGCACTGAAGCAATCTTTAGTTTGTAATGTTTTTTCAAGGCCATCTATGAAATTATTGTTTTTCTCAAGTGACTGAGGTTTTGCAATCTCATTTATATATTTACAGAATCAGAGTTGGAAAATCTATTCATCTGGGCAAAAATCAAATATGGCGTCCGTAAGAAAAAAAAAAAGATTTTGACCATGGAGGACAAGAAACAAAACGTCAGATTATAGAGGAGAATAAGTCACGACAAAATAGGAATGATTTTGGGGCCATTCGACATTTTCCTTGCCTTCGTAAATTGCGAAAGCTTCTAACTGCCATTTTCCTAGCTCCCTAAATACGCAATATTGTCCCCCCCCCATTTAAACGACTTCGTATCCCTTATCATTTTCGAGATCGCAATGTTAATGCTCGAGTTTGAAACGCACGATTTGAGTTTTTTGAGAACGCAACAAATAACACCAAAAAGGAAAATATTCAGTAGTTAAAAACTCCAAAAAATGTTATCGCAAGTTCCATAACTACCTCGTATAACATTTCAATATGATTCACCCCAAAAACTTTAAAGAACCACACATACATTCATCATGAAAAACTTAACTCACCGTAGAGTCGCAACTCCCGCAGCTCGCTTAACCCGCGACCGCCGAACTGTCCGGCGTGATTAACTCCGTGCTATTTCTTGCAACTCCCGCGCTTAGCTTGGCTGGAATGTTACTATTCGATGGATATTTGCCGCTCAAACTTTTACGTGTTCCTCCTTCGCACAGGCCGGAGTGGGAGTTGCGATCAACTCCCGACTTGTTGCTCGGTCGCGTAGTGCTACGTGCAAGGAATCTGCCTATTTCGTCACCTGTGGAACGCACCTGGAACGTTTTCGAAAAATGGCTTCAATTAGGTGGACTTTGCACTTCCCATACTACGTTGTTATTGGTTCATAAAGCACAATTTGGCCTCTCTTAGTAAAAAGAGCTTCGAACAATGTGACAAATTCCAGTGAACAGTATTTCAAGTACCCCTAAGTAGAAGTAGTCTTTTTACTTCAAAAAGTTTTTCAAGTATCAAATACTTCAATCAAGTACTCAATTTTTTCTAAGTAGAGTTATTCAAATACCTTATCAGTATTTTAAGTGCTTGTAGAGTATTCAAATTACTAGAAATATATATCAAATACTTTCTTAGCATCAAAAGTGATTGAAAAACTTGACGAATGATTTAAGTACCGAAATAGTATCTAATAGACAGGTTGAATTATCTTAGTCTTTATGATATATACATATATATATATATATATATATATATTGTATTTTAAATTTAACTTTACCTCAGCATTTTACCGTTTGATTTCAATACAACTCACTGTCTAAAATATTCTTCTAAGAGTGCATGCCTGCATGGTGCATTCACTATTTCAGCGACGCTGAAAAGTCTCTCTACAAGAGAAACATGTATTGTATTTCAAGAAAACTTCCTGTTCCTTTCCCCCTTTTCATTTTTATTGATATTTTCAATTTACCCCGAAAAAAAAAACTGAAAAGCGGGAGTGCGGGGGGGTTGAGTGAATACTCCAAAAACACGAAGAACAGACAATTAATTGAAGCCCTGAGATGTGTGAACGGAGCAAAACAATGAGTTCATGGTTCGTTCACATGGGCGGATCCAGTAGGACTTTTTGTGAAGGATTTCACAGAGCGAATGCCTTTATGACAACTGAAAAGGAGGGGGAGTACCGATGATTGATCATTTAGGAGGGGCGGCGGTTCCATTAGTGCTTCTGCGTGTAAATGTCCCTGTGACAAGGATTTTATACGTATTTTCCTTTTCCCATTGATCTTTTTGGAGGGGGGCTGTCCTTCATTCCGTACGTCCGTACGTCTAGCAGCACTGTGTCAAAGTGCCAAAAATGTAACGATGGAATGTCATTGATATGTTTGCAACTCGAGACACCATTGTGCTTAGTGCACAAACCTTTCGTTTCTCCTCATTTCATCAATCGATACAAAGCATTTCCGCGGTGCTTATGGATCTTGATGTATCAGCAAAAATTGATTTCAAATCAAATGACGCCAAAGATGAAAAAAATACTGTGCGCCACTAAAGTCGCCAATCGCAAGCTACCTATTTAGTCGCCATTTGAAACTGTCAAATCAAATTATCATATATATTTTTGCAGAATACATATACGAGTACATAGTGCTCCTTAAGATAATTTCTTAGTGTGATCGACTATTTCTATTTTTTATAGTATTTATTTCCTATCAAATAGACCTTAATATACATGTAAGACATGAAAGTTGGTCATCTTAATGTTAGGTCGCGATTGTAAGGATTTTTCCTACTCCAGGATATTGTGATTTCTGAAAATTTTGATATAGTTGCAGTAACCGAAACTTGGTTGAATGATAATATTGGATCTTCGGCTATCCGTATTCCCAATTACAATTTTATACGTACGGACAGAATCGGTAGAGGAGGAGGTGTCGGCTTCGCCCTTAAAGAACTCATAAAATCCAACTTTCTACGTACAAATATTTCTCCCCTTTTGGAAGAGCAATGGATCAGTTTCAGATTTGAGGGCAAAACGTATACCTTCGGTCCATTATATCGATCTCCTTCTTTAAATATTCCACAAACATTTGACGGTACATAAAATACCTTATCTATATTACTACCACCCACGGGTGTCATTGTAAATCTGGATGATCTTATTACAAATTTGTTGATTAATTTAACGGCTACAGATAATATGCTCAATTTTTTAGAATCTTTTAATTGGAAACAGGTAGTAGATCCACCCACAAGGGTTACTAGTCTTTCACAAACACTGATAGATGTTATTATCTGCTCGGTTGGAGAAAACGTGATAAACTGCAATGTTGTACCAGTTTATGAGTTATTCGATCATTCAACTGTTGTTTGTCACCTCCATAAAACGTTAAGCAATCGGACGCAGAAGTTTCACACGTTCAGGGACTTTCGTAACTTTAATGACCGTAGCTTTTATGACCTATTTCATTCGATTTATAGGAATAATATTTTTCAATTAAATAGCGGTAATGATATGGTAGGCTTTTTAAATAACAACACACTAAATGTATTTGATAATTGTGTACCTATGAGGACATTAAGGGTTACTAAGCCACCAGCTCCTTGGCTGACATATAATATTGAAATGATTAATGAAGCCAGATATAAAGCTTATCTAAGGTTTAAAAGAAGTAAGTCAACTGCTCACTGGAACTTTATAACTACGTAATTATGCTGCTGCGCCTCTTCGGAGAGAGAAAGGGGCTTTTATATGGAATACATTCTCTCTCGCAGAAACTGTTAAGCAATGTGGAGTTCTTCTGGAGAATTAGCATAATACTCTACCAGATAACTTAAGTGACACAGATTAAATAAATTCATATTTCACAAATATTCCTATCACAACCAAGAAAAAAAAGCAATAAGAATTGCTAAACAAATATCAAAACAATCAATTTCCCAAGTCATTCTGTTTCGAAAGGTAGCCAAAGAATCTGCTGCGAGGAGTTTCTCATCCATCAAAACTCATGCTGTAGAGGCTGATGAAATTTCACTCATTATGGTAAAATACATTTTATTATAACTTTTGTACCTCATAACGTTTATTATCAATCACGCCGTAGCAACATCAGATGCGTGAAGGCTATCGTCATACCTACGAGTATTACTAAAGAAGCGATTACCACACCTGTAACGCAACTTAGACCAGACAGCTTACTTCCTGCATTTTCGAAGCTTTAGGAACTTGAAATGAAAATGCAATAATACTTGAGTACATTTGGAGTAATGAAATAATTCCATCAATACAGTCAAGATTCAAGGAAAACCATAGTACAATCACTGATGATTTTATAAGAGGCCTTGATCAAGGAAATTTCACTTGTTTGGCTTTGATAGATTGCACAAAAGCTTTCGATATAATATACCCTGAAATTTTGATACTTAAGTCTTAATATGGTTTTACTGACAAACAGAAATAAAAAGGTCCTCCCAGCTTCGAAAATGTCGGAGTCAACTGCTATAAAGTTTGGTGTTCCTCAAGGTGCCATATTGAGATCTTTACTTTTCTCTCTGTATATATCAGATTTCCATCAATATGTCCATATTTATTCAATGCCGATGATATTCAAATTTATTTAAGTTTTCAACACAAAGATCTTAAAATGGCAGAGGCATTGATTAACGGGGATTTAACATGGCTAGTTGACATCTCGTACTGGCATAACCTCAAAAATAATCCCTCTAGGCCCATATCGTCAGTCGTTCCTGCAATTGTAGGCCGCCTTTATGGCCTCCTTGATTGTCATACTCCTCTCTCCTTCAAAAATTTCTAGATTGCACCTGTTCTGTGTTAGCGTCAGCGCTCTCCTATTGTCAAGATATGTTTTATTTTTAAATTGTAGGAAATTTCAGGCTGATAAAACATGATATAAATCAAAAGCATGCACCATTTGATGCAAATAGATATTTGTGACATAACCTCAAATTAGAGCGCTGACACGGAAAAGTAGAAAACTATGACAATCAAGGAGGCAATAAAGGCGTCCTACAATTGTAGGAACGACTGACGATACGGGCCTTAGCCTTCAGTCATTGTTTTCAGCTCAAAACACAAAAGAACATCGATCGAAACGGAAATTGAAACTGGAACTCTTGATTGACGCAGAACTGAACTGTCAAATACCTATCAGTTACTGTGACACTATACCGTGCTTTTCTTTAACGTCCCCTCCCCTTTCATTTTTTGAATTGATCCATTCAAAAAATTAAAACTTGAGGTAATGAAATTGATGCGTGGATACCATATTTTAGAGTAAAATTGATAGATAAAAATGTCAAGATGACCGCTTGGTGCCATCTTGAAAAAAATTATATGAAAGCAAGGGTCTTGTGGCATATCAATTTGAAGCTCCTGTCGAGTACTTTATAACCCTATAATATAAAGTCAATACCTTTACCTACTACAAAATGGTGGTACATTTAATAATTACTTGAACACAAACCCACGAACATGCATATTTCTACAAATAATTGTAATTCCCTGCCGTAATCACAGCAAGAGCGATAAAAACTTGTTTTGTTATTTTTTGTTGACAGTGACAAGAATATCAGCACGGAAACAAACATCATTGTACAATTAAAATATTCTTATTTAGTTTTCGGTTGTAGAGCTAGATACTGTTTGAACTATTTTTAAAATGGTCGATTCTCGTCCATTGGAAGAAAAAATTGAAGCGATTTTTATTTACGGTGCGACGCGTAACTTTCACGAGACCGAAAGGATTTTTAATTGTCGTTTCCCGAATCGTCCTATCTGCAGAAACTATTTAAGGGAACTTGTATCTGAATTTGCAGCTACTGGTAGTGTAAACAACAAAAAACCACAAGACCCGCGTTTTCATACATTTTTTTCCAAGATGGCGCCCAGCGGCCATTACCTCAAGTTTTAATTTTTTTAATTGATCCGTTCAAAAAATCAAAGGTGAGGGGGACATTAAAGAAAAGCACTGTATGTGGTCCCGCTCCATCATATAGTGAACAAAGCAGATTACGGCGTATTCAGAATTCGTGAGTCAGATGTTCTTGCGGGATACGAATGTTTGATCATATTTCTAATAAATTAAAGGAGCTTGGTATTCTGCAGATTAAGGACATGCGAAAACTCCACTTATTGTCACACATAATGTGTTAGCTACCAAACATCCACGATATTTGCATAAAAAGTAAGCAATATATAGTGACATAAACCAACTGAATAGAAGGAATAGAAATATACTAGTGATACCCTTACATGTTATGTTTCAAAATTTAACACTATTTGATTTTACAAAGAGACCTAAACTAAAACTGCACGTAGAGGTCTGATGATGAACAGAAAATGCTGGAAAAATGGATTATTCTTGTAATTGATTCTATTTTTTTGTGTTGTTATTCTTGAGAATTATGCATACATCTCTATTAGTTGAGTATTTTATTATATTATATTTTTTTTTTGTTTCAAATGTTAAGTTGAAAAAATGCTACGTTTGGACACACTTATACTAAATCTCATTTATCATTATTATTCGTAGTATTATTATTATTTCGAATACTTTAGTATCCCAAGTATGATTTTACAGTATTTGAAATACTTTTTTGATTTAAAGTATCAAATACAAATACCACAAAGAATAAAGTATTTGAAAATATATCTCTATCATTCAAGTTTTAAAGGCAAACCTACGGGAAAAACTGGGGTGTATGAAATAAATCTAATAGAAGCGTAAAATTACCGAGGTTGGAAGCCCGTATACCAACGTCAAATAATTGAAATACACTCACTCCACCACGTACAGCTGCGAACCTTCACCTTTTAATGCCAACAATATTTTTTCAGTTAATTATCAGGAGCCTCTGAACCGTCAAAAAACTTGTGTTTCAGCGATTTTAATTTTTTCGTGCTTTTTTTCTTTTTTAAATTGGTATCAAATCTACACTCTTAAATAATATGTAACACTTGAAATTCTATTCAAAAGAATACACCTTCCCATTACTTATGAAAATTTTAGTTAAATGGCTTCCGCGGCTGGCCTGGCAGTAGTCCATCCTCTTAATCCAACTTTGAAGCACATTTTCGATAGTTTGTGGGTCTATTTTATCAATAGCTTGGCGGATATTTTCCTTAAGACCATCAATTGTTTGAGGATCGTTAGTGTAACTGGTCCTTCACAGTACCAAATAGGAAGTCATCCATGGGCGTCAAATCACAGCTGCGGGCTGGCCAATAAACGTCTCCAAAACGGCTGATAACGCGATGACCGAACTTAGTGTGTAAAAGATCGATTGCTTCACGGCTGCTGTGGCATGTTGTGCCATGGTGCTGGAACCAGAGATTGGGCGAGTGCATGTCGTCTAATAGTGGCCACAAAAAGTGATCAACATGTTTCTATAGCGTTTCCCGTTTACCGTCACGCTGTTACCATCTTCATCTTGAAAAAAGTAGGGACCAATAATCCCACCACTACAAAAGCCACACCAAACAGTTACTCTTTTTGGATGCATTGGTTTTTATATGACGGCATGCTGGTTTTCAGAACCCCAAATCCTACAGTTCTGCTTGTTAACGTATCCTCCCAGATGGAAATAGGCTTCGTCCGAAAAGATGATTTGGCGACCAAAATTGACGTCTCGTTTCCAATTGATTTAGAGCCCACACAGAGAAATGATATCAAAGCGGATGGCCATTTTGATCAACTCCTGCACAAGTTGCACCTTGTAAGGAAATAATCCCAGGTCGTTATGTAATATTCTCCTCACAGAAGTGTGACTGATGCCCACTTGTTGTGCTCTGTAAAGAGTTGACATTCTTGCGTTTTCACGCACACTGTGGGCAACAGCAGCAACGTTTTCGACTGTACGTACGAGTCGAACACCCTCCTACCTTCTGTTATCCACAAGCAGTAAAGTTTCACGAACCTTCTTCACGAATTTTCGTATACCAGTCGTGGACGGAGTGTCATTCCGACCAAATAGTCCTCTCAATTTTCTGCAACACACCTTTGTTCAAGATTAAAACGATCCATTGCTCACATCGGAAGTTTGACACAATATATCTGTCAATATGTTGAGCATGGAAGTCAAAATAATACCAGCTTTAAAAAACCAACTGATGGCCCACCCTTTACAAGGTCTTTTTCATTCTTGGCATAGTAGCAACCATGTATGGAAAATTTATCAAAATCCGTTATATGTTAGATGGGCCAAAGATTAGGAAATAAGTGGCATGGTTTTTGCGTGATGTACATAACATCCAAAAACATAATCTCATTTTCAAAAATTTCCGCAATTACAGTCTTCCTCGAGAAATGTACCCCTTTTCTCTGAAATCAAGTGTTATAAAGTAAGTTGCAACCCCACTATTACACAGCCAGTTCATAAGTAGAGCAAAATGGCAGCACTGACGAAATGATCGGTAACACGATTCATTAACGTATCATCACCATCAAACAGACGTGCAGGCGGAAGCCTACATGTCAGGCCACCGCGGCTGCTATGAGGAGCTTAAAGAAACTTTGTTAATCCGATTTTTGAACTAAGGTCTGTAGAACTGGGAAATACCTCCTCATTTAGATTGTTCCAGAATCTCTATTCCATAGGGACAAAGGAGCTGTCGTATCGGCCAGTTCTGGATGTACGAAATTTGACTGTTAGCATTACCACTATAATAGAGCTAAATCGCAGATGGCGCGCCAGTGTGAATGGGTCTTGAGACTGTCCGTTAGAGAAGAGTCATCGATCAGTCCGACAGCCTCCTCTAAAAAGCAGTGAACACGGATAATATAGATGAGGCAACAGCACCCCAAACATGTGAGCAGTACTCGAGACTAGGTCTAATCTGGGCCTTGTACAGAGAGAGAGGGAGGAGATGATGTGGAGAAAGGTACTTCTTAGCCCTAAGCAAACAGCCTAGCTTTTCCCAGCAGCTACCGCTATTCACCAGATGTGTTCATGCCAGATCAAGTCTTCGGTAATCTGGACTCCGACCAATTGAAATGAATGGCTGAACGGCTCTCTGGTAGAACTCGGCCATCCATCGAAACCGCCTTAGCGCTAGGATGCTTCTTGTTAATCAAGTAAAGGTACAGTACTGAGTTTCGGAGGCATTAAACTGTGCCAGGTACCTCGTAGTGATAGCCCTCAGGTCTCTCGCCAGAAAGTCGATGATAGTCTTCTTTTCTCCAGCTCACCGGCAGAGATCGGCAGGGGTATTATGTAAAAACCTATAAAGCGTCAAAAAACCTATAAAATATCACCTTGCAGACTAGGTAGTTTTTAGTGTCAAATAGTTCATTCCACGTTTGCTCGCGATGATCGCTGTGAGCGCCATCAAAGGCGTCCACCTATGGAGGAATGGCTCAACGACACGACATGCACTGGTGGTTGCTTGTTGGTGGCAGAAAGCCGAGTAGTCTGTAGTGTTTATCTCTGACATGTGGAAGAAAGAAATTTGGTTGAGTAGCAAGTTCGCATCTGAATCATTATGTGTGTTGGTCTGTAGACTGCTGGTCTAAATCTAAATATTTGTTATGTTTGAAAACTATTACCGAACATGCTGCCAATTAGGTATATCTATTAGCTGTGTCCGGCGGGTTATTTGTTGTCCTTTCTAGAGGTTGGCCAATAGTAGCTTTTTATCTCTCACATTTTTGAAATTCAACGAAGATGCATATGTAATGAACAAGAAAAAGGGTATGCGCAACTAATTTGCAGCTTTAAATACATCTCAAGTAAGAGTATTTGAGACAAGAAACCAATGGAGTTTCCTTCCAGCTATAGTATACAACATACAACTTAGACTTCCAATAATGCCATCTCTGAAGCAGATGTTACGTAACATCAGAGCCAAACATTGATAGCTGAAGCATGATGACGTTTAGGCAACACGTGCAGCTACAAAATGAGTTCACAACAAGTGTACAACAGCTAGCGCTAAGTTAACAACTTGTATAACCTACAAAACGTCAAATAAAGAAAACGACAAAATGTCACCTTTCAAGATACGCAATACCCGCGCCGTGCCGCTTGTCACTCTGAATACCTGCATGTAGAGTGCCGTCGTCAGCAGAGTTATACAATTTGGAGACCCTGTATCTCGGAAACCGCTTGTGGAAAAACTTTGTTCTACATTTCTTAGTGGCCGTTAGTCATTCCCAATAATATTTTGGATGGGTCTTTTGTACATATAAAAAAACGAAGATTCGTAACTATCTTAAACATTTTCATTTTTTGCTCATAACTCTGCCGTCACTGTACATACTATGACCTCGCAGATACTGCTTTCTGAATTTCATCAATTTCGGTCCATATGTTCCAAACATAACGAGGGTAGAAAATAGTAACAAACAGTAGGCCGATAGAATGACAGAGATAGAGTGAAATTAATCTCCGTGATATGGGCATCACAAAACATCAAGAAAAGGTTCTCTGAAATGCAAAAATAAACGCTTTTGTGTGGAAGGTGGAACAATAACAGTTAATAAAAATATTATTTCTCTTGAAATATCCGTCGGAAGTTTTCTTTGCTCACCCGTATACCCCTTACTCAAGCGTGCAAAGCCAATAGAAGGATGTCGACATTACGGGTGTACGAGCCCTACATAGAGGTTGTATGTCCGTATATGTATATACCCAATAGAATCTCCTTTGATGTGAGGAAATAAAAAAATCTTTTATTCGTCGTCCTTTGTAGCCATTTTTTTATCGAAATAAGAAAAATATGAATGTTACATGTGGAACAACTTTTCTTTAAGAGTCTTTAGGCGATATTTCTTTTATATGTTATGATTGTTTCAACAATGACAATTTCATATACGTATTAGTTCAAAAGTAGGTAGTCGTCTACAAAAAGAGAGCTACTAAAGGACCACGGACAAACTTGATCTTCAAGCTACTTAACTTGCAATCAAGTCAAGCCTAAATGAAGTATTAGGTATTAGCCATACAGGTATAAATCTAGTCAAGTTGTTTTTACGTCAAGTATTTGAAAATTCAAGTAGTCTTAATATAACTTGATAATTTTTGTAATATAAATACGATTAGATTATAAATGCACAACGGAAAGACTGTGACAAGTTACAGAAAAACAATACCTAATGAACAAGATAATTTGAAGGCTAATGTACGTAGTGGGTGAAATATGTCTAATAGGTGCGAATAAATATATTGACATCAAAAAATTGAGCTCTACCCTACCCACCCCCTTTAACCATCCCCCACAATTTTTCCTAAATCCTCTGAAACGTCGAAACACGAAGTTTGAGAGATTGTTTTTAGCGCACAGAAAGGCAGACAGACCGGCAGACAGACGAAGATAAATACCAACAGGCAGACAGACGGACGGAAATGAGTGAAATGGTTTCGTGATGTACCAACATCCAAATAATAATAGTAATAATATCTCATTTTCGAAACTTTTCGCGATTACAATACTTCCCCGCCAGTAGGCGGTTTGTTTCAACCGAGCACCCGATACACAAAAATGAAAAAGTCTAAGTTAGCTTTTTGTTCTCTAATCACGAGCAACATGTGGGATTCATAGGTTAATCTAATGCGGGGTTCCGTAATGGTCAGTACAGACCTAGAAAACTACATTTCAACGGTCAGATGTTGCATGTATCGATAAAACATATCTTGCCATTAAAACAGCCTTTCCACCACTCGTGATTTGCATTAAAATACAAAACATGGCTCATCGGTTGAACAAATATCGTTCAAGATCTTCAGTAGAACAAAAAGAACAAAAATATAATTTGCAGTAGTTTGAAAATACTTGACCTCAAGTCACGTAGAACAATAACAAAATCAAGTCTAGTCAACCATTAGCGTTTCAAGTATTTTTATTTTATAGTAGTTTATGGAAATATGAAGCTATTTGACTTGATGAATCTCTAGATATGGTAATGAATTCTGATACCTTTTAACACATGGAAGCGTCGTAAGACTGACATTGTGTGACTATATGCATAAACATAATATGCTAACTGGCTAAGTCTAAGCAAAAAAAAACTAACTACTATACTGGAGTGCTTGTGTCCATTGCTATTTATCGTGTCTAGCTCTTATTTCCTAATGGACTGGAATGGTTATATGTGTATGGACATAAGGAAAAAACAAATTTGAAATAACATGTAAGCAGATAGTAGCAATTATTTTTGTAAGAAAGATTCCAAATGAAACTTACCTTTAGCTGCCTTAAGAAGATGTAATCAGCACGTTATAGGTTTCTTATGTTGGTCCACATTTTTCATGCACTTCAAGCCACTGACGACGTTTATTGGTATACTCAATTGCGGGTTGTTGTTTCTCCAATCATCAGCATACATATTAATTAAATCGTAGACTATTCAAATAATATGTCCTTAATAAACGCAAATCAATGAGGAAAATAGAGCACTTCCTTCTTCGCATGGTTCGATCGAAACATTTTCGTTTACTTTTTCGGTACTTGCTTACTTTAACAGTTGTTTGACATGCTTCATCGAGCATTGGAGGAAAATACATTTTACCTATAATAGGAAAATTAAAAAAACTTATGTTGTCTTTATAATATACTGGATAACCGAAATATTTCAATTGGTTTCAGGTACGATCAGTGCTGTCTACTGCTTAGTTAAGTGTTTGAGTATTAGTGGTAGTAATAAAGTACTGAGGTGTGAAAAAAGTGCTTAATAACTTTAACAATTGATTACTTTGCAGGTGCTATAGGTTCTTGTCACTCCAGAAGGCTCTTTCGTTCAAGGAATTGAGGGAAATGATGTATGGATACGAGTCACATGAGAATAAGAGAGTAATAAAGAAAGTAAAATCCAATATTGCGACCATATTATAAAAAACAGATAATTCGATCTGCTCTGCCTCAACATTGAAGGCCGTAGAACTATTTACATCAGCCACCAATAATTTTTCCAATATTTTTAAAGGATAGGACATCATCAGAATAAGAATGTGTGGATGATATTAACTGAAGAATCTCATTCAAATCGCAAAATTGTGGATATTAAGAAACGTCTTAAGTATTGTTAATATAACACCCCGAAAGTTATCCTGTGGTTTTCTTGCTGATAGGAACCCATTGATTTGTTCGTACAGTAGTCGATAACTTGTCGGTGACTGTCAAAATCTGAATTAGAGAGATGTTACCTGTTCGTACAGTTTCTGACTGTTTGCCGACAGCTAGTCCCCTGTTCGTACAGAACCTTCTGATAGTTCAGAGAACGCCAGTCAATCAGTGACAGTGACAGGCTATCACAATTAGTTGAAACTATCTTTAGGACTAATATTGCTTCTCAAAAGACATTTACTGATCGACGACTCTTCTCTAACGGACAGTCTGGAGACACTTTCGCACCGGTGGGCCGTCAGCGATCTAGCTTCCTTCTACCGCTAAGCTAAAGGCTTTGCTCCTAAAAGCTCTCCTCGATGATGCCGCCGCGCGATAGTCTGTCAGATAGACTCGCCTGTTTTCATCCTCCCATCCCAAAGGTGTCGAACTTCGTACATCCAGAACTGTCCGATACGACCGCTCCTATGTCCCTAGTATATCGAGATTGTGGGGGGATAAGGAAGCTTTTCCCAATTATACCAATCTTAGGCAGTTTAAAAATCGGATTAACAAAGTTTCTTTAAGCTCCTCATACCAGTCTCGTTGCCTCGGCATTTAGGCTTTGCCTGCGCGGCTGCTTCGGAGTAAAAAAACTATGAGCGATATAATAAGCAGCGAACACGCGGGAATGTCCGAATTTTCTTCGGAGGAGAGAATGAAACCCAAAAACCTGAACTTTGTGGAGGAAACAGTGTCACAATTCAACAGTAACAATTTTTTGTAACATTTTCGAATGAGCAAGACAGTCGCAGAAAAAATTTCAGTGTAATTCTGTGTTAGTAACCATTTTAAATATGAGGCAGCGCCATATGGAAAACTAACTCCGTATAAAGCAACCTGTACTCTTTTAAGGTTTGCTGGATATCAAACAGCCATCTTCAGGGATGCAGCTGATAGGTTCACTGTTTCCGTGAGTACCTACCCTGCAAGCAGTTATATCCAGATTGACCAACTTTTTGAGGAGTCTGGCACCAGAAATGATAAAGTGTCTAACAGAAGAAGAAATATATAGGACAAAGCAGTATAATAAAAAATAGAATCGTTGGCATCATTGGTCGAACCCATATAAAGTTTGGAAAACCAGAGGATAATTCGTTATCATATATTAATAAACAAGGATGCTAGTGATTCGTACTCAATATTTTGTTTATTGGCCATGCAATGGCAGAAATGCCATTCCTAGATCAATGCGAAAAATCTGAGGACAAGACTTTCAAGAACCATAATTAATACCATTTTTTTGTGAAAACTAATCTTTCCGAAATTTTGGTTACAGTTGCAAAATGCGGGATTACGCGATTAATTTGTTCCTACCAGTATTGCTAGTAGTCATGATGATCAACTTTGCCATCTTAGATATTTGTATTTATCCGTATTTCTGCTTGTAGTATGTCTCAAGGGCGAAAACGCGACTTGACATATGATTTTACCTTGATGAGTTTTTGTACTTTTGTAGTCTCATTTATTTATGTCCATGTTTGGAACTCTGCGAAACTTATAGGTATTTAAGCAGATCTGGTTAATTGTAATTATGCTCAGCCGTATTAGCTTTTTAGTCTATATTCACCCGTTGTCATTCAAAGGCGTTAAATCGTTGTAGTATTCTTACTTATTTCTTTCAGCGAGAGTCTGCACAAATAGGGAAAATATTATTTTCACCCCAGCCAGCATCATTGTTAAATAGGCGGATAGTTTGGGAAAATATCTTTGTTTTTAGTACAATATACGAAAATGCCCAAGGTTGATATCCTGAAAATAGCTGTATCACAAAATCTTTAAAATTAGTCATTTCGTTTTTTTTTCGATCAGCTTTCTGTTGGACTGAAGCTAGAGTATATATACTGTTTGCTTGTATGCTTCAAGGCTGGAAGACAACAGTTAGGGAACAAAAACCGTACTATTCTAGATTTATAAAAACATATTTACAATACATTTTTCATGCATAGACATCGCAGATGTTCATTCAGAATTCTTACTTTTTGCTTCTTCAACTTGTCATTCGATGTGTGTAATCACATTCCTCCGAATTTATGTCCATATTTTTTAAATGAGAGTTGAATAGGAATTACAGTGTAAATCTACTTGACTTTTCTTGGTGATGTCATTGATCTAGAAAGTGTTCCTGGTTATCCCCTCTAGAGGAAAATTCAAGTACCTACTTCCGGGCATTTGCACGATAAGTCCTAGAATATTCTGGTTCACAAAAAATCAAAATACCCGAACTTTTCCAAAATTGTCTACCTCATGCTGAAAGATGTTACATTCGAATAATGATAAGAGGCCAGAGAATCATTGAGTCCTTTCAAAATTCTAGTTAGAATACTTAAATCATTACTTTTGTTTTTGCTGCGCTTCTTCTAATTGTACTTATCTGTGGGTTTTCTCTTTCTTAGTTCATCTCGTTCATCCTTATTTTCTCGTTAGCCTTGCTTGGTTCTTAGGTGCAAAACAGACAAAACAACACACTGACTTATATACTTTGTTATAAGAACAAAGTGTTTGATGACAAGATGACGAATAAAATATAAATGCTAAAAGCGAAAACTAAAGATGTTGCTTTTTGGGAAAGAACATCAAAACAGAGCTTCAGCTGATCAGCTGTGATGGCTTGGATTTGACCGGAATATTACATGTTGTGTTACATTTTATGGAGACAGACATGTGGAGATCGTAAATTTTTGGAAATCATTTAATTTCGGTGCATTGGTATCAATAATTTCATGGAAATTACGGTAAACGACCTCTGGATATTATTCCCATGAGCTGGCGCAATATTATTGAATATATGCTAGTATCAGAGGATTGAGTTAATCCTAAATGAACAGAAACAGAGGAATACACGCTATCATTGTACATAGAGATATTGCGAATTTATTGGCTGAAAGATACTTATGTTTGACATGAAAAATTGATTAGCTATTAACTTGGAGTACGTTGTTTATTTTCCGATATGCACTCTCCATAATAAAAATCTGCAACAGAAAAGCGGAGTTGCATGTGAAATAGAACTGCGCAAATAAATTAAGCTGAAAGGTTGATGATTGTTATTCATACAAATTTAGCGTTTTTGACATTTAACCATATTAAGAGCACAACACTTTATCAGATTGAACTAATAAAATAGAACTCAGAAACGAATTTTAGCTAGAGAATCTTCTGCTTTGAAAATTAGCAAATTAAGTTACTATTATAGTTATTATTTTCGAAGGGCGGATATCAAAGAACTTTTATGACCTGCGTTCAATTGTATAACATACCAGTTTATTGCTATTTAAAAAAACCTATGACCCCGTAATCTAAGAATGTCAACTAATTCATGAAGGTATGTTCCATATGCTGCTTTGGAGACCGGTCAATATACCGCAAAGCTTAAGTTCTGTCGCATTCCTGACCTCTACTGTCCCAGACCTAGCACCCTCCAACTATTGTCTATTTTTGTCGTTGCAAGATTTTTTCTATGGCAAGAAATAAAACAATGGTACAATTACAATATCAAACAAGCACTGGAATCCAACGTGAAATAACGAATTTTTAACCGAATTCGCCTATCAAGAATTATCATATCCTACAGAACATGATTTTAATTCTTGAAATGAGGGAGTAGAATAAGTGAAAGTTATCACGTTTCGGGGAGCTGTATTCCTGAACACTCTTAGAATAGTTCCTCCCCGAGTCATTCTCAGAAGAAAAAAGGGCGCCAAGTAGATTGACTCTGTACCTTCCACGCAATTTTGGATACATGAAATTTGTAAGTAGGTAGACACTAATGTGCAACAATAAAGTTTCTATATATCAATCACACTTACAATCTACGTATTTGTTTTAAAACTGCGATGGTATATTCAAATAAGATCGTTCATAAAAAAAGTTAGCAATTGCTTAATGGCACATATCAGGTGGTTTGCAATCAACAATTTAAGGCTGACTGATAAATATGGGGTTCAGAATTTCTGGTTTATTATAAGCCTACCAACACGCAAATCTAGTCAGATCCGCAACAAATTGCGCCATACGTATATTGGATTTTGCACGATTTCCTGGAAGTAGAGTTCAATCCTAAGTATATACCCCTTCGACTTGAAAACCTCTCGATAGGCAAGAAGCCTCTCAGCAAGTAGCGTAGGACACCTTAGTGTTACAAAAAAAAACAACTTCCAATTTACTGAGAACATTTTATTTATGTTAAAGGTTTGGTAACAATAAATACGACACGTAAACATTAGTAATAAGATATTAAAATATCGCATTTTTATAACGCACGGTTGCAACGATTTGGTATGTCTTTAACACAAAAAGGTATCAATAACTGCAACTTTTGTGCTGAAAATGGTGAAAATTTACTTTTAATACTGTATAGATTAAAAAAGATATTGTTCAGGCATATCCGACTTAGGTTCTACATAATAAATAAAACTGTAATGCTTAGCAGTTAACTTATTAAAGTGTTTTTGAGTTATGCATTTAGAGGTCATTACGACATGTATCCTTATAAAAATATAATTACTGACTTAAGTACTAGAAAAATAAACAAGCACTTTCTTGACTAGTTAATTTATAACTTTATAATATTGTCGGAGATTCTAGAATATTCTTGATCCGGTTAGAATATTTTAAATTGCACGGCCTCCTCTAAGGTTACCCCTCATATTTGGAATGGCACTGACTATTTCTATGTATTTCCGGAATTTGGAAGGCACATTACACACACATTTTGAGTACAGCCAATAATGGTGACCACAGCATAGCGTCAAAAAATACTAATCGTCAAACGAAAAGAATCTATTAATTATTAAAATTAGACATGAAAAACGAGCCAAATGCAAACATACCAAATTTCATATCAGGAAATAAATGGAAGTGTCAAAGACATTTTACAAAACGCTATCGAGTTGCTTAAGAAATTGAGATTTTAATGTGAATCTGCACAATACGAATATTCCTGACAATTAAAAAGCGATTATTTAAAATATCCTGATAATATAGGTATTTTCAATTTACTGTTTGAATGGAAAATTTGGTAGTTCGCAAATGGACCACTAGTTGCATCAAATCTGTATCGGGATATAGTTACGATAGCGTTAACCACGTATCCGCTGTTACAACGGTATACGGATTCTTAGGAGTCTTTTTAGAGAGAAATATTTAATAACTTCTTAGCTCGATAGCTCGTATAATAACGTACATATAGCTTTGACCACATCAAGGAATTACTGTACCGGGTGTCTCAAATTCAGTTCTCGCCTTTGTGACTTCTTATGGTTATGAGAGATGAGGAAGGGGCCAATGTTGCGCATTTATAGAACTAAAGACAGTGACTGGGTTCGGTATTCATAGTATTTCTGGATATACTATACAAGAAAAGCCCGAATTACTCTAAAATCGTTTTCAATTTTTCTTGGCTTCATTTGAGATGGGATTTCAAAATTAATCTTACAGTAATACTATCTCTTTTTGTCCTCTACAATGTGCTATAATTATAAATTCAATATGACGTTTCGTGTCATGTCCTCGTCATCAATTTTATGGATGCTATATTGGAATATCGCATATGTGGATACCGTTTTCAAGTCTAATTCGACATTTTGCAATACTATTGTCATACACAACTATAAACTGATTTGTTTTATAATCTTCCAGGCTTATCGACATGTAAACCACTGGGTAAATTTTAGATGTTGCATTGTTTTATAGTGTCATAAGTCAAGCATTCATTCAGTTCTAATGAACTGGGCATCGGTAAGCAGTTTCCTATTTCCAATTTTATTGATAAATAAAAGATGATAGATACGGATCAATATTATAAAACTGCATATGTCTAAAAAGAGTAAACGTTCTGTAATTGATCTTAACCATGAGATTCGTCGTGCTAAAAATAAAAGCTTTACTAATATGTGCAAAGATCTAATAGGTCTATAAAAAATATAAAGATGAAGATGGAAGAGAACGGAAACGTCATACTACCTTGTAGAGGAGAAGAAGCTGCAATGTTAATGTGAAATTTATTTTGAACTCGTACGTAAAATAGGGTTAGAAAAAACAAACCAATTTTGGGGAAGTTCTCTGTTTTCTGTCTAGTCTGAATTGCGAAACTTACGCAAATGCGCGACATGTCCGAATTCAACTTCGTATCTCTGGCCATTACTGAAGGTCGCATTTGAAACACCTGGTATAGAATTTTTGATAAAACACTAGATGATATTTCCGCTTGTTTCTCGACTAGGACTTTAGATTACACACCAGACAGCTTGTTCAGTAACATCTTGCTTAATTTTTCGATCTGAACGACGCTCTATTATTTCCTACAAGCTGATGACTCTTCGTCGTGCTGGAAGTAGTTGGTTTCATAAAACTCATCGCTTGAGGCCTTGGGGGCTTATTTCCGCTACCTCCTATTGACCCCACTCTTTTCAACTCCGGTTTCGCTACTGCTTTGTTGCTTGCGGTCCTTTGCATTGGTTTTCCCATGTTACTACTGGTATTGGGCCTCAAAGGCAGCTTCTTCACAGTACTAGTCGATGTAGCACTATTCAGGGAACTCCTCGAACTTACTATAGAGTTCCTGGAGTTTGATTTCTGTATAGTGGAAGATCGAGGAGTTGCATTGGTCTTAGACTCTGACTTCTTGATACTGTCTGAACGTCTAGGGATCACACTTTTCCTCGTAGAGCTATCAAGGCTTGTCTTTCGAAGGCTTGGAGATTTCTCTACGACCTTTGACGGCTTTGGCATGGAGAGAGACTGAAGTCTTGCACTTCTGGAAGTAGGTTGAGATTTCTTGACAGAGCAAACTGGAGTTTCGCTGCTTGTTGTAGTAGTGGAATCGATAGTTTCCTTGCTCTCCTGAGATAGAGGTCGTTGAGGCTTGGATTTGGTATAGTCAACAAGGACAATCTTAGCGGCATCCATGATGTCGGCCTCGTAATTTCCACCGGATGATGCACCTTGACTTGGTGATTCGGACATGAGGCTCTGGGTTTCTTCGAAACCTTCGTCGTTGTCATGTTCTCTTATTTTGCGAGATGGGATGTCTATTTTGTTTGAAGTCGCCTGAAAAGAAGAAATTATCTTAGATTTTGGAAATAATGTAGGCAATCCAGATTTACGAAGCTATGACCATAAAATTATAACAACGTTCAATTGGAAGGCAGATAGAAAGAGGAAATAACAGCTTATACTAATTGTTGGTCATTGGAGCGCTATTTCACTTCAATAAAGAGAAAGATGCCAACAAAGAATGTCATTTAACGATTTTACTTCTTTCCTGTGCTATTTTTAACTCAGATTTATCGAAAGATAGAGCAAGACTTGGATTCATGTAATTTTTAAATTGAATTAATCCAGGTATTAGGATATTTCCAGTCTGGCTCAAAATTGCTCAACAATTAGGGTTGTAAAATAAACATTTTGAATAGTATCAATGGGAAATGCGGAGAACACTAATGGGTGTCTGCGAAAGGTTGGGAAATCTCGAAACTGGAGATACTACAGACCAAAATATGTGAATTGACCTAAACATACCTTGGTCCAAAAGTTGATAGTTTGCGAGATACAGAGTGTCAAAGTTACAATTTTATTTTCTATTTTTCCATATTGATTGAGAAGTATTTCAGATTTTGGCATACAACTTGGTATAGGGAAGGATTAGTTGGTCGAGCTCGAGAATGTGTTAGGCAAGGTGGTGCTCATTTTGAACAATTTTTATAATTATTATTTCCGTTTATTAGTTTTGTTGCCATCCTAATTTGTTATTATAAAAAAGCATAGCAACGCTATACTCAGATATTATCCAAAGCAACTTGATTGTTATGTTATAGAAATGTTTTATCATCATGGTACAAATGATTCATTGGAACCTTTAAAAATAAATATCTCGAAAACTATTAGCTTTAGACGCTTCTAACAAGTAAACCTTTTTTGTTGTGGAAATACGAAAAAATAAAGTTTTTCGGTCAATTATTGTATACAGGGTAGCACAAAAAAGTTATGATAAGTTATTTACCGAACTAGTGCTGTAAGCGGCGCCCTCTAGAAGTTTGGCCATAAAAAATAACGGACTCTTATTTCTCATACTAAAAAACCTCCATATACCGAGTTTTATGCCAAAATAATTCTCAAGCAATAAAGAAAAATAGAAAATAAAATTGACTTCAGGTTAGTTCACATATTTTGGTCTGTAGTATCTCCAGTTTCAAGACTTCCCAACCTTTCGCAGACACTCTGTATATCGAATAACCTCCGACGCTTATTTCAGCATTTTATTTTACTTTCGCCATTGTGATATTTGGGATCTACGTCTTTGGGTAATAACATTCAGTTATCTATGAAGGAATATTAAAAGCTGAGTCAGTAGTCTCTTCAGGGAGATGACATCCTCCGCATTCATAAAGGCTTACCAGTAAGAAGTTACTCCAAATTTTATTAACTATTACGCCTCAATTGAAATGGTTGATATTAAACGACTGTACAAGTATATGACGCTGTAAAAGTGTTTATTGTCTATGCTACTCAGAAAAGAAAATACCTTTATGGGTTCTGGCGCAATAAAGTTCCTAGACACTTCATTATCATTCATCTTGCTCAGCGATAACGCCATCTCGACATCTGATTGGTTAATACCGGTTTGGTGCCTGTGCCTCCTGCTAGTCCTTATTTCGGGTTCCTGTTGGGATTTGAGTTTCTCCTGCCACGTCTTTAATCTCGTTTCCCTGCAAAAATAGCCAGAAAGGAAATAAGAACTTGCAAAAATGATAATGATATAAGCAAGGAAGGAGGTAATTTTTCCTTACAATGTTGACGACAGTAAATTTTTTTTGGTGATATTATTAGTTTGTTGCGTCCTAATGATACGTTCAAATTGACGTTATGATAGAGCTGGAGTATTTGCTCGTTTGATCAAAATCCTCAAAAATGATCAATCCTATGTAACAAAACTTGTAGGGAATTAAATTCCTTATTATTTTACCTCCATGAAAATTTGTAGTACAGCCATCAGATTACGCGAAATTTAAGGATAAAGAAATGGCTGAACTCACATCCTAACCGTACAAAGACTACTATCCTTTTTTGTTGATAATAAAATGTTCTACATTGTGTTTTTTCGACACCGTGATGGTTCTTCAAGAATAAGGAGCGAAACACTAAATTTCGTATCTAAGCAGTAGCGCGGTACGTAGCCTGCGGAGTATGTCGCGCGACTGTTTTGATACGAATTTTTAACTTTCCCTCCTTTTTACTTCAAGAACCACTAAGGAGTCGAAAAACGTAAGAAACCTTTTATATCATTAGATTCTTAGTTAAGCTATTGTTAGCAGAAATATTATTACATGTACCTTTATTATTTAATTTCTCGTAATCTGTTGACCATACAACAAATTTTAATAGAAGTAAAATGATGAACAAAATTTTTTATAGGATTAGGCCTAGATACTATTCGTAACAGTTACCTGTACTGAATTTCACGGTGCTTCGGTGCTACACTTTTTATCACTTAGAATCTATTTTGACTAGTGCATTTCATAAGAACACAGATTTGTTCAGCACAACACTTTGATAAGATGCAGTGAGTAAATTGAGGAGTAAATAGTGCACAAGTGCCTACCAGGGGAAGTAATCGTAACGTCAAGTTTTACCTGTCTACTTCTGTTTCCATAGCAACAGATTCTGAAGCTTGCACTTGAGTTGGCGATTTGATGACTTGCTTCTCAGCTATCACTGGCTCAGACTGATGAACTTCATTGGGCTCAGTTGGACGCTTGTAACGCCTAGTACGTCTTGTGGATGAGTATCTGGAACGGTTATTTTTAGATGTCAAAATAAAAAATTAATTTTCGAAAATTCTGCCACTGCATAATGTTTGAGCAGAATCTGTGCAACCATTATTAAGTGCTGTATAACTTGCACGTACAGGTACCGGTGAAATGGGGTGAATAGAAACAGTTTCGGACCTTTCCTAGTCTGTTGCTAACATGGTAGTCACCTTTTTGACAACAAAAAATAAGGAATCTACAGGTCTCGACTTGTAGATCAAAAAGCGCATAATAGATTTTTTTTAAAATAGGGGGTTTTCCAAATAAAAAATAAAAACGCTCTTTTTCTATTCACCCTTAATGTGGGGTGAATAGAAACACCCATTTAAATTGGTCAAATTTGCTATTCTACCCACACGAAGGCGAATAGAAAAACCTGAAAAAATTTTTAAATTGATAAAAAAATATAAATACACAAAAAAAACTGACAAAAACACCAATTTTACAAAAAAAAAACATTTATTTCTATAGAAATGTAACAAGTTTAAACATATTATTTAAATTAAACAACTTTGATGCAAATTAAATTTTAAAATGTCTCTTCTTGACGTAGATGCTTCTATCTCGTCATGAACTGGGAAAACCTCTCCAACAACCTGGCTAAAATGAAAGGTGGAAACATCCGGAACTTCTGGAAATCCATAAATATATCCTGACGAGTGTTTGGTGGGGCGACTTCTTAAGAAAGTGGCTTCAATGTCATTTTCTGTAATATTAATGACTTGTCCGATAAAATATTTATTTCTTTGTCTATTTCGATATTTTGTTGGAAAACACACCAGAAGCCAAGTTCCTTTATCTATTAAATCAAGCGAAATAGGAGAAACACATCGAAACAATTTACCCTCAAAGCAGACTGATGCTGATGAATTATTTGTATCCAACTTATTCTCGGACTTATCGGTGAAACTTGGTAGTGAAGTGTCCATTTCTGAGTCTGTATCTGAAGAATGATCTTGATCTTTTTCCATGTCAGAGTCTTCACTTGAAGAATGATCTTGAGCTTTTGCCATTATTGGCATGAAATTAATAAGGGGCAAATTCATTTCCGGGTCTGAATCTTCATCTAAGGTTTCCATACTTCTTTCCAAATCAGTATCCTCTTGATCGTCTTTATCCAACGTGCTTTCAAAATCTGCACTTGTAACGCTTTTGCCAGCAGGAACTTGAATTTTACGACGTCGACTCTTCACATTTTGACCATCGCCATATCTCATTGTTCTTAGAAGGTTTACCAAAGAGTTATTAAGTCCTTCTTCAATGTTCTGATTCTCATCATTTGTCTCGTCAAGATTTTGCTGCGGAAGGCGTCCCAAGACTTGATCCCTATTTAGTGGAAAAATTCCACACTTTCTAAAGCCAGATTATATATTTTTTCCAGCATTAGGCTCAATAGCCTTTGACAAGTCATTTAGCAAGAAAGGGAATCTGTCCTTTGGAACCGTGCAATGCTTTGAACCAGCCCCCATTTTCCATTTTTCAAGGATCTGTCGCCAGGCTGTTTTAAGAGGCCGGAAAAATGCCACGTCCAGAGGCTGGGTCAGATGAGTAGAGTTAGCCGGGAGGAATATAAATGAAATATTATTTTCTTCGCAAAGAGATACCGTACTTGCAGAAAAATGTGAACTCAGATTATCGCCAATTAAGTACTTCTTTCCCGGTAGATTTTTTACTGCAGGTATGACAGTGCTCTCTACCCAATCTGAGAAGGAAATCGCATCAAACCAACCTGATGGACTTCTATTAAATCTGACGTCCTTTGGTCCTCCAACTGTCCAAGATGTATACAAATTTTTAGCTTTGTAAACCACGTATGGTGGGAAAAATTTTCCATCAGCTGAAGCAGCGTACATAATAGAAACGGCTGACTTCGACGTATTGCAAATACGTTCTGGATAGCGACAGCCCCTTTTCGAGATTACTTTCTTTCTACCCGGATCGTCAGTTAAATTTGTTTCGTCGTAATTTACTATGTTTGATGGCGGTACATTTTTCAACTCCGTGGCTAAATTGTCAAAATAAGCATTGATAGTATTGGGAGAAACAGCAGCTCTTGAGCGCTTGATGTTTTGGCAGATTCTAGATCTTAATTCATTTTTGTGACGTTTTAAAAAAGAATAGACAAAGTCTCTGCCAGGGATATTATCTTTAAATCTCGTTATTGTTTTACCTCTACTGTCTAGGTAATTTTTTATCATCATCCTGACGTCCAAATGGTCAAGTGGATACCCCCAATCGGAACAAACTATTAGTTGATGGACTAAAATATCTTCTTCTTGTTTGGTTAGGGCTGTTTGTCCTCCATGAAGCTTCAGATTTCGGTTTTTGTGGTGCCGATAAAGCACAGAATAATGAATGTTGTATGTTTCGTGAGCCACTCTATAACTCATCCCGTTGTCAATTGAAGCAAGGGCTATTTTTAGAGTTTTTTCATCAATTTTCTTATATGTTTTACCTCGAGGGTCTGGTTTATAAACGCGAGGCATTTTCCTGCAAAAGAAAAAACAGTTATGGGGTGGATAGAAACAGCGGGTGAATAGAAACAGCGTGTTTCTATTCACCCCAAAATTACTTAAAAGTGTGGTTATGTATTATATTACATCATAGCAAAAAAAATAAGCAAGACAAGCAATTTCTGAAATAGGCAATGTGAACCAGACACCTTAAAGCTACTTTAACCAAAAACTCAATGTCTTACCTGTTTTTAGCTAACCACTGTGAATAAAGTTTTGCTAGTGATGAAAAAGGCTCATGTGTTCACTCCGACGGGTGGTTGCTACTGCAATCAGGGCTGCCAGCATAAAACATCTTTGGCCTGTTAAAGCAGTTATGGCGACATCTGTTGACCGTTTGAGAACAAATTTGAAGCGTTGGGAGGTTTAATTCCAATGTTGATTTTTTTAAAAAGAAGTTTCCCGTTTTTGTTGCTATTCACCCAGCAGTTTCTATTCACCCCATTTCACGGTAACGTTATTTTGAAACTGGACAGCTGAAGATGAGCAATGCAAATAAAACTCACCTTTTGCATTCGAAGCTAGTGCAAAAAATGGCAGGCAGACTTTGTAGTGGAAAACCAATGTCTCCAATTATTGCACTTCTTTTGGTCTTGCTCATCAAGACAATAATGTCCAGTTTAAAGATAATAATAATAAATTCAGATCATTATTTGCAGGGCGTTGCAATTAATAAATTACAAGGAAATGAATAAAATAAATCCGAGCCTGGAATTGTGTGTTCTCAAAGCATCTTTAGTTCAATTTTAAGCTTTGTTTTGTAATATATGGATGAAATCAATCTTTGAAATTTTGAGTTTGGTGTGACAAACTGTTAAAAATAAGATATTCGAATAAATAAAATGTGTTAATTAAACAACTAAAAGAGGCATAATCAATCTATTTTGCTAATTTACTAGCATCATTCATAGGCTTTTTGTTGATTGTGTTGATTTTGATAAAAACTTTGTTGTCGTGCAAAGTTTCAATAAGCTCATATCAATAGTACATAAGATATGTGATATTAAAGATTTGGCGTGAACGGAGCACCCTGTATAAGAATTAGATTTTTTGTAAAAAGACAAATCGTATATAGGTATTCAAGTTTGTCATTACATTATTCCTTCATATAAGATACTCGAACGACACATCATGTGCTAAAATTTGTGACTTTTCAAAACTTCATTAGAGAACAACACTGAATATCGAATTCTATCTGAAGATTGTATTTCTTCATCTAAACAATTGTTCAAGATGAAATGAAATACCACAGCATTATTTATAAGAATTTTTCACAGCTTTGAAAAGGTTGGTGTGTAGCCAACCATATGCTGACATCTGCATACATCTGGCATCAAATAAAATTATGTTAAACACTCGTCCATATGCATGTTGATTTTTCTTACCGATCAAACTGCCCATCACCCAATACAGATCCATCTTCTGGTTCTGGACTGAGAGGAGTGGGTGAGTCCCGAGGCGAGTCCCTATTTCTGAAAGCCTTTCTGCTGCAAGGACTAGGCGCTAGAGGTTCTCGCTTATCCACGGGTGTTGGAATGAATACCTTTCTCACTGCTGGTGGCGTTTCGATGTTGTCTTGGTCAATTTCCACCTGAAGTTAAAAAAGTATAACTAGTTTTAATGGGCTCGTTACATAAATTTCAGTTTTGTATCTACTGGATGGCATGCAGTGAAGCTCGCTGATTTATTGGATTTTTTGAAAGCATGTAAATGATAGAAAACACGCGTAGAATTTTTAAAACTGGTACACGGACTGTTGTCAACAGATGTTGGAAAATGTAACATGAATACTATTGTTTAATATTATTGTATTATTTATTACATTTGAAATTCATGAACGCATTCATTATGTATGTCAATTCCGCTGGACCTGGATTGGTGCATTAACAAACGAAAGTCACATAACTATACCTCAAACTAAATTGGCAAGGCGACCATAATTGACAATCTCTATTATAAAATCTTTTGCTTGTATGTGTTTCCGTATCTTATAATGTTTTGTTTTATCCAATACTTTGAATCTGTGAGGTTTACTGTGCATTTACTTCCGTATTTTCCTAACATAAGAAAGACATATATGAATGGTGGTGATTAAGTCATTTAATTTCTAAAATAAATTGCTGGACTAAGAAAATACTGTTCACCTGTGTCATTCTATCATCTCGCTTCATTTCCGTTTCGGGGAATATTCAATTTTAAACAATATTTGGGCAAGTTTTTTATTTTCTGGTATGCAAATACTTGATTTGAATTTGCTCGATCTCAGGGAGGCACATCCGCTTTCTACCATCTCTGAATGACAGTACGCTTTGAGGAAACGGACAAGTATCGCCTACCACCATAGGTGTCTCATCACTCAGGGGAGCACTAAGTGCTCACCGTGCTACTAGCCCTGACGTACTATGTATAAACAAAACACGAGCTGAATAGTATGTTTGCTTTTCGTCTCTGATATATTCAACCGTATACAACGTTGTTTAATACTTTTAAGCAATCATGAGTACCGTATATGTCTAGTCACTGGAGACTGCTACTAGCCTTGACGTACTATGCATAAACAAAACACGAGCTGAGTAGTATGTTTGCTTTCCGTCTCTGATTTATTCATCCCCCTACAACGTTGTTACATACTTTCAAGCAATCATCGGTACAATATAGGTCTAGTCACTGGAGACAGGCAACGTTTGGCGATCTACTCAAAGGTAACAGTGTCTCCTCTTCGTGCGTTACATAATGAATTTTCTAGTAGACTTATACATATATCCACTTGTTTGATTTCCGTTGTCTGTCTCCATTGATTAGACATATATCATACTGGTGATTGCTAAAAAGCATGAAACAACGTTGTATATAATTTTATTATGACCACAGAGACGAAAAGCAAACAGATCCTATTCAATACAATTACTTGTATACAACAGGAGTCAAGTACCTGATGCCAAGCCCTACTGTAAATAGGTTACTCGGTTTCCGACTTTTTTGGCTCTTAGGCCCGTATCGTTAGTCGTCCCTACAATTGTAGGGCGCCTTTATGGCCTCCTTGATTGTTATATTTTTCTGCTTCTCCGTGTCAGAACTCTATTTTGAGGTTATGTCACAAACATCTATTTGCATCAAATTGTGCTTGCTTTTGAGTTATATCATGTTTTATCAGCCTGAAATTTCCTACAATTTAAAAAGAAATCATATCTTCACAATAGGAGAGCGCTGACACTGACACGGGACAAGTGTAATATAGAAATTTTTGAAATAGAGAAAGGAGTATGACAATCAAGGAGGCCATTAACGCGCCCTAAAGTTGTAGGGATGACTGACGATACGGGCCTTAGCCGGCTTCGGATTCAGTTCTTTGTTGCCTCCATGAAGCTTATAGTGTAATTCCTGGTCAAAGGTATTAAGCACATTCAAGTTTTATATGAACTTTGCAGTCCTTTTTTTTCTCTTCAAAGATGTTGTGGTGCTTTGCCTCTTCGCACAACAGCAAACATTGCTTTCTGCATGTTATTTCGAATGATCATTAGACCATGAGAATTCTGCATACACTCTATCGCATAATTGCAACTGTGTTAGAGCCTGCAGGTCTTACACTACTGTATATCAACTCCTTCGGTGCTGATTTGATACCCAGATCGTGCAAGGCTCTATGAAATGTCACATACTGTATCTTTATGACGACACTCAACTAATACAAACTTCAAACTAATTATGACAAATATCTCAATTACATGCAAAAATCAAAGGATGGAAGCGACTATATGGAAATACAGGGTGATTCACAAGTCATGGCCAAAAACTAAACAACATACACAGGACCCATTTTAAGGAGGGTCTTCCATGTAAAATTTTTTTTTCGGGGGCATCATTGAAAAGATACACCGGGGTGTTGAAGTTTAAAAATAAAAAAATATTTTTTTTATCTTCAAAACCGTCAACTGGAATGAACTAAAAGTTAGTATGTGGATTTACCTAATTATTGTCCACATTCAAACGTTTTTACTTAAAATTAACGGCACCAGTGGCGGAGATACAGGGGATTAGTGGCACTATTTTTCAAAATAAAAATGGTGCGCCACTGTTTTTTTCAAAACGCGCAATTTTTCGAATTTTATCTTCAATTTGCTCCAAATAATTACTCCTGTGTTTTTTCCTGGAGTGCACTGTTTTCATGAAAATAAAAAACGAATTAGATAATCAAAGCTTTGTTCATGTGTCAAGGGCGGATTTAGGATTTCGTCTAGGGGGGGCGCAAACGGTATTTGGGGCTGGTATTTTTTTCATCCTCAGTGGAACTTCTAGAATTCATCCTATTGATGCTCCTTAAATCCATTGTGTTCTATCTGGTCAATACCAACTTGAGAAAAAAAACATGGAAAATACTCAGAAATCCTCAGAAAGGCAATATTTTACTGTATGAGAACAAAATAAGTACGTGGCATTTATAATTAACTAGTGTAAAAATATTAAAGATTAAAACATAAAAAACTTCATTGCTCTGTTAACCGGAAAAAAATAAAAAATTCTTAAGGACCCAGAAGCATATCCCAGTCCATTCCACACAAAACAATGTCTTTGAGACCGAAAAATCAACATTAACGTATGTGCGCGAGACTAGACAAGGAAGGATGTCTATACACTATCTATAGATTGAGTCTTGAGACCGTCTTCAGACAAGTTGCGCAACGGGGACTACTAGTGTGTACTAATAGCTTAAGGATTGAGACTCCGAACTGCCCATTAAACAAATCAAGTAATTGGTGCAAATAGTGACACAATCAAGCACTTCAATTATATCAGCAGGTGATAAAAATATCAATAGGTATAGTCAATTATTTTTTGCAATTCCATATGGATGTTACAGTTATTCTTGAGACTTTCGTTGTCGAACTTAGGTTCACGCATGGTTGTTTTCTCAGCTTTCTAATCGGTATTGATCGCATTCAAAAATATTGCAAATCTATGGAAAAAACTATATCTGTTAGATCGTAATTATTTTGATAATGTATGTTTGTACGAAACAAGAACAGGGATACAGGGCTGTACATATACACGTGAGGTGCAGAAGCTCTGTGATTTAGCCGAATTCAATTTATCAACATAAATAGACACATGCGCGGGAAGAGATGCGGGGCGTGTGGTATTGACTTTGAGCATCGATGGACGCATTTTCTGCTTCACTGCAACACCAACCCCGAACAATATCAGTCAAGCTTTTGACACTTTTCAAATAACTATTGAGCAACAAACAGAACACTTTTTAATTAAGTGCAATCTGTATAGCTAACATTACTCAGACTTAGATTTGTCACAAGTCACAATACTCGTATATACGTAGGTATACGTATACATCGTAAGAATTGTACTGTAAACGTAAGTGATGTCAAAGAGGGACATTGTTTGGAATACTAAACGATAGCAAAAAATCGCAATGCTCAGTTCCTATAGTTATAACTTATAGTTAGTATACGGCTGTCGCCACGATGTGTCAGAAAGTAACGCAATGGTGTTAGATTACAAAAGCAAGTTTCAGATGTTTAGGGGGGGGGGCGTTTGCAACTGTCCTGTGTATGAAGTTTCATTTCTGGTCACGACTTGAGCAATGACCCTGTATATTGAAAAATATTTTTTTCCTAAAATGGTGCTCAAAGATGGCTGAAAATAGTCTTTCTCTCTTATTCTTTACAGTAAGTTTTATACAAGTCGATTAGTAATCCATAAAATTGTTTTATGTTATCTATTGCTATTACCGACACACTGAAATTTGAACAGCTTGTGTCATATTACTATTAAATATATAATTCAACTCTGCAACTCTGCTTTCCTTAAGCCAACATTATCCTACCTCTACCCGTTCCGTTTCCGAAATCTAGAGGTATCCCATATGCCCATCTTATGAACATCTTGTAGATTTCTTCTGATCCACATCTGACCTTCGTTGATTTATAAATTTTTTGTTAATTATTAGCTACTATTTCACCTATGGATGTCTTTATTGCTAGACAATAAAAATTAGAAGATAACATCCATCAGATCTAATTTTTTTATTATATTCACGATTTTCTATCTGTAATTTTTTTTTATATGGAAGCAGCTGCATAGGCAGAAGCCTAAATACTAGGGGCACTACGCGTTGACTCAGCGGTAGAAGAGAGATACTCGTACATCGCCTACGGCCCGTCGGCATCGTTGCGAAATGGGCCCGAGTTTGTCCGTTAGAGAAGAGTCATACATCAGTCGGACAGCCTTCCTCTGAACAGCATCGAGCATCGATAATGTAGTCGGGGCAGCAGCATCCCAAATATGTGCAATACTGGAGGCTAGGTCTTATCTGGGCCCTGTACAGGGTGGGGAGGTAATCTGGGGAAAAGTAGTTCTTAGCCCTAAACAAATAGCCTAGCTTTTTCCCAGCGGCTGCCGTGCCAGATCAAGTCCGCGGTAATTTGGACTCCGACCAGCTAAAATGAAGCGCTGTTTGGTAGAGCTCGGCCAGTCATCGAAACCGGATGAACGTTATGGCGCTTTGTAACAGTTTGCTATAATATAACCATTTAGGAATATTTTCTGAAGTGAGTTCTTCAATGTCTAGGTGTAGAATGATCAAAAGGGAATTTATGAATATGCTTTTGTCGAAAACAATTTTCAGTAACATACAATATTTTCGAAACTTAATAACACCTTTATAGTTTTGCTCTCCAAGAACTATATACAATATCAACAAGTTTCGTCGAAATCTTTATTTTTTTGTTTGAAGTAGGTACAAGCAATTTTAAAATAGTTGATAACTTTTACATAAGCTTGTTGATTGACGTTTGCTTGCTTTAAGCATATTTGTAAAATATATACAGCTTTCGTTTAAAATATTTTTTGCAGGAAGATTGGCGGAATAATAGCAAAAAAACTGTTTTTGGTCATCATTATGGCTAACCTTGTTACTACTGACACTGTCCACACTGGTCTGCCTTCGAGTTAAGCTCTTCCTCTCCACTGGTTCAGCAGGCCTTCTGATGTACAACGTAAGCTTATCAGTGGGCATTCTTTCACCTAGAGAGCCAATGAGAGACTTTCTGTCTGCAGTGATATCTTCATCGATGGAATGTAAGCCGGACAGATCCGTTCTGGTCCGTGATCTCGGGTTGTCGATATGTGGTGCTTCCTCTGAGCTGTTTGATACGTTTAATGTCGATTTGCGCCATGCAGATTTGTCTTTTATGGGTTGTACCTCTGAAATTTGTAAGTTTTTGTTAAAATACAGACATTAAATGCGTATACCGGCTGTTCCAAATTCGTCTGACGCCATTCGTAAAAATACGAGGTCGACTAAATTCAAATGGAATGTTTCCATTCCTAACCAGTGATGGGCGTTTACGCGTATACATTAATTGTCTACATCTCGATGTATACAACGCATATACAATAAATACAATGTATACAATGTATACAATGATGAATACAATGTATAGAATAGCACAAGTGAGGTTAAGTTTATTGGCAAACGTCATAAAGTTGGTAAACAGTGAATCGACAACTTAAAAGAAATATGGTTGGACGCTCCAAGAACAAAGTAATCGATGAACTAGGGTTCATTTGTTGTTCTTAATTTATTTAAAACTGTATCTTTGTATACATATATAAATAAATATTATATTTTTTTCATTATTTATAAACTGCTTCCTCAGTCAAACCAATAATGCAATGTTTGTATCTATCCTGAATTTTCAGTTCCACCTAAAATCGGAGAAGCATTAGGATCGATCGGGAATTGATCCGAAACAGATTCGACAGAAATGTGTATTTGGGCGTAGAAAACAAGGCGTTGCAGCAAGTTACAGTTGTGTTCTGTGGGCTTCATCACTGTTGTGCCAGGCAACGTGGTGTGTGGCGCACTCTTTCTACACAGGTCGGGCTTGCTCGCCCCCCTGTCTCTCTTCCTCGTAGACATGGAAGTCTAAACGGGAAAGGGACTTTCGTCAGCACTATAGGCAAGTAGTTGAACTACTATTTGCTATTGTATACATTATATACATTTTATATATTGTATACGTGAATATCGAGAAGTATATATTCACCATTGTATACGCGTATACAATGGTGTATTATACATGGTGTATACAATGCGCCCATCACTGTTCTTAGCTTTATTTGAGGTAATATTTCCAAATAAATTCCATATTAACATCGATACTTTTCATTCTCTACAAGGTTGCATAAATAAAATGACATTTCGTCTCTTACTCCCAATCATCCACTTTAATTTTCTTTTAGAATAGACATTGGATTTTTGCACTGATAAATGGAGGTTTTAATTCTGATTTCGAAAATGTAATATTTTACTTCATACATTGACACGGAAAAACCAGTTAGTTCAAAGAAAATCGGTATATATTCGTAGTTGGTATTGGAAACGCTTGCTTCAATAAGAAGAGTTTTTAAAGGACATTGTACATTTATTGACGATATGAAGCGTTATTTTAACCCGACAGGATTTCTCTACATGACACCTCAGTCGTATATTGATGTTACTTAAATGCAAAATGTATGAGTCGGCTTAAATACGACGGAGATGAAATATGTTTAGCGACCCCGCAGCAACATTGTGAGGCTTTTACTTACTCTAAACCATTTTTTCGCTTTAATATTTTGTTAAATAATATAAAACAGTCAGCATTATCTTATCATTTATTCGATGAGTGAGATCACCTATAGACAGATTACTTGCTTATATATTCGAAATCAAAAATAGGGATTGTTTACCTATGTCCAATTTATAAAAACTGAAGTAATGCTTCGCAAATGATATTATGAAACAAATAACTAGCTGATAATTTCAAAACCAACTTAGAAAATTGCGTGTCTTTTAATAATTATAGTATCATAATATTAATGCATAAATCAAAATTAAAGACTCCTAATCATTTATGCAGAAATCCAATATGGCATCTATCGGAAAAAGTAAAGTAGATGATTGAGGACAGGAGGCGAAACGTCATATTAAAATTATAAGTGTCACCTTGTAGATGAGAAAAAGTGGTAACGTAACATTCATTTTGAAATCCCACCTCATGTAAGGTCAGGAAAAAAAAGAAATTTGTGAAAATTCGGTTCTTTTCGTTGGTCTCTGCAAATACTCAGTATTGTAAAACTTTTTGAAGCATTGACCTAGTATCTCTTACCGTTTCCAAGATCCCAATGGTGAGAAATGAACTTGGAATCTCTGGTACATTATTGTTAACCTTACTGCCTTCCACATAATATGGTTTATTATTATTAAGGTTTTGTTTGATTTTTCATTTACTTGACAGATTTTTCAAGGGCATAGTTGATAAAAGATAGTTTCTATGACATTCCAGACCAACAACATGTTGTTTAAACACTTACACTTTTTTGAGCTCCACCTTTAATAGAGCTCTTTTTGTTGTTTTTGTTGTTGAAGATTTATTTAGCATTAATGCTACAATGTCAATTTTGTATAATGATTCGGTTACATATTTTTCTTCAATCCATTTTTTTAATTTTGTGAAGTTCTGTAAATGTGGTGGTAATAAATGATTTTTTAATTTGAATATGAAAACGAGAACTAAATAATATATGACATTTTTCACCACTGCAGTTCTTCTAACAAAGATTTAATCCTAGCATATTTGTTTTTATTTAAAATAATTCTCATAGCTTTATTTTGTAGAATATGTAGTTTTCATTTGCTGTAAACAAGATGGTTGAACAATTTGAAAAATGGGGAAGAATTATAGTGTTATACACAATTTTTTTGTAATACATACTAAGATTATGGGAAACTCTATAGAAGTAATTCATCTTTTTCGATATTTTTGAAATAATGTATTCATAATGTACGTGAAACAGTAGCTTACTATCCACATATACGAGTATACCTAGATATTTAAATGACTCGACTACTTTAATTTTTTCATCATTAATCATGAGCCTAATTGTATTGTCACCTAAATGTTTCCCTATTGACATACATTTTGTTTTATTAGTGTTTAATTTAAGTTTATTGACATTTAACCAATTCATAATTTTTTCAATATCACTATTTAACAGTTGTAAAGCAGTGTCCAAACGCTTATGTGCTATATATATATATATACAGGGACTTTGAAGTTGAGTCATTAATTTTCAGATAATGATTGTAGAAGGAAGATAAACCAAAATATGTGTGTAAAAATAAAAAAAAAATAAAAAAAAAATGTTACCTTGTTGAATAAAGTATCCTCCCGACAAGTATTTCAGTGCGGACCTGTATTTGATCGTGCGGTCTTGGAGCAGCATGCCCTCACCTGTGAGGTCTTAAGTCACCTGATTCACGAGCACTTTGTACTACATTAACAAAGGCACGAGGGGTTGGTTGCACTCGATTGGGAAACCGATTCGCATAAATCCGTGATGCATCCGGGAGCATTTTGTAAAGACTGCCCCCCCGTAAATAAGAATCATGTCCACAAGTTCAGCATTTTCGTAAACATGTGCCATTTTTGATTTCGTTTGAGCCACGCAACACACTACTATTCACTCACGAAAAACATCGTGATAAACGTTCCAAATTCTTTCGTTTTTTTGTTTCCGATGCGATGAACCGGTCAGGCGGATTATATCCGTTGTCGCCAAACACGAGCATATAATAGGCAGGGCGGTACTCAAACTTCCAAAGGGCTATAACTTTGTTACTTTAATTTTACCAGAAAAATGGTAAAGGAAAAAAACATTTCTTTTGATCAGATCTACTCACTGTTAAAATAAATGACTCAACTTCGAAGTCACCCTGTATATATATATATATATATATATATATATATATATATATATATATCACAAACGCAAAAATAGACTTACGTTCTATAGCTTCCATAGCACCCACAACATCCGTGCTTTCGATGGTACTTGACGGCTGCCATGCCGGATATATTTTTCTATAGTTCGACTGGCTTCCACTGTAGACCTGTTTACCTTCCGGTAGTGTGTCCAGAGTACTGCTTCTTTCGCTTTCTGCAAAATAAATACTTGCTTATACAGAACATTAAATAGATCGTTGCGTAATATGCGTCCAAGAAATAGGACGGGAAGCACTAATGTCATTTTAGCGACCAACCATGATGTCAACAAATCATCCTTTAACGTATTCTTGAGATTGAAGAATCGACGATTATAGCGTCTTCTGCAAGTTTTAATAATATCTATTTTGACGTGGTTGTTCTTTTTGGATTTTTTCATTGCTACGAATATTGATCAATATCTTTCATTTGTTCGACCTTTTATCAATATTGCACAACCTCTTGACCATTAACGTCAACGGCCGGGCACATCACATATCTTAACATGAAGGTATTAATAACGTTACTCGCCCGCAGTGGGCATCCACGGCTATGCCCGGATATTATCGCCATCACTCGTACTAAGTCTCCAAAAAATTCTTGAATGGTGAGAGATCCAACCAAAGATGAGACAAGTGAAATAGTTGATAGAGGAAGGAGAATCATTATTCAAGAGATAACTATAGAATTCAAAAGCAAAGGCCGTGAGGGTTGTGACTAGTTTACTATTAAGAACACTAATCATGGAGTCGACAACCATATAAGAACCTTATGGGGTAAGCATAACAAGTCGTATGCAGGTCCTGCACTTTCTGTGCTAATTTAAAGACACGACGAACCACTTCGCCAGTGATTTCAAATACTAGTAGCCCTGTGTCCCCGCTTCATTATTAGAGAAATAGGACTGACAACAATCTACCTTTTTGTTGATGCACAATTCTATACCTTCCCACAGAAACATTAAAGAGAAGTTTGTGTTACCTGAATCCATTTCCGCTGATCTTCTATTCCTTCTTCTCCTTTGTTCATCTTGCGCATCGTTCTCACTCGCTTGCAGCCACGATTCGATCTTCTGCCTCCATTCTCGTGGCTTTGACACAGCGCTCGTAGTACCAGATGCTGATTCCTCTTCAGGAGCTGAAGCAATCGCTGGCTTGGTCTCTGACAGAGGGGATGGTGAGGAAGGTCGCTCTCTTTCGCTTGAAAAATCTGCTGCTAACAGTGCCGGTCGTTTTCTGGGTCCACTACCGCGAGCCTTTCGCGCCCATGACCGATCTGTAAAAATAAGTAAATTTTGTTGGTATATTTGGGAATTGAACCTACATCAAAGAAGAAATCGTCGATAGAACTTGCGAAAGTGGACGCGGTTCTTTTCCTTGGAAAATTATCTCAAATTCTGACAACTGTTAACATTTGTCAAACACGTACATGAATGCATCTATTTTCTGTGAAACAATACACTTCAGGGTTGTTCATATTAGTAAACATTCCATCACAAAGTTAACTCAATATATCTATTCTATTCTATTTCAAAATACGATTCCACTTCATGTTCGCTTGTAATAGCTGTGTGTGTTGCCTAAACATCAAGATATCTATTTGAGCTAATTGTGATGTCGCTCTGATCTGATACAACATCTGCTTCAAAGATTGGCATTGGTTGGCCATTCATACGTTCTATCGCCTAAGCTGCAAGTTTTATGCTTTAGCCAGAAGGTAACACCAAATTGCACAGTGATGATTAGTGTATAATTGGCTTGAGACAAAATTGCAGAAATTTATTGCGCATAACCTTCCACATTTTATGTTAGTCAAGTTTTAGGTGTATCTGGTGCAACAAGAATATCAAAACTGAGAATCAGCTTAGCTAATGGTCGACCTTGGCAAAACGGTGCAACCAGTCATAAAAGAAGATATTTTAGCTAACATGAGAAACCAACTGTAGAATCTTAGAACAAGCTTTTTGGTTTGTACGATATGTATGATAAACCACCTATAATGTGGAATATGGAGCTTGTTTAGTAAAGGCAGAAAGTGCACAGAAAGTTTAGCGTCTTTGTGGTAGTGAATATGTAGTTGATGCGACGTAGAAACCAAATAAATGTAATACTCGCCGTAAATGTGCTTGTAGTTAAATTCGATATATTTCCACGGTAAACATTTTGGCGACAGATGATAACAGTAGCACTTTTTGCCGCGCATAGTGCCGCGGTGTATTTTTTGCTAAAATCATGATATGAAATCCACCAGACTCATCTTAGAAATCATAGCTTAAGCTTTAACTAATATTCATCCGTTCCATGATCAAGGATATAGATTCCGAGAGAACAAAGTTCTTATTTTAATAAGCCTTCGGGTCGCAAAATCTACATATCTGATCTATTGTCTGCCCCCAATATTCTCAACTTGCAGCATAGTTTTCGATTAGCTAACACCAATTGAACCCTTTCCAGCTGAAATATATATGGACAAGATATACAGTAATAATTTTCTCACATAGGTATCAGTGATTGAAAAGAATACTCTACAAAATGTCTCAGCATGTCATAATCACAGAGTACTACTAATCTGTGTCATAACCCACAAACAATGCATAGGTGACGCTCACAGCGAGAAGACGTCATGTAAGTATCAGACTAGCTATTAGTACAAAAGTGACACGTCGTTACCATAGCGTTTATTTTACATGATACGTGTGCGAGGTATCACGAATAAGATTATTTTCCAGAAAAGTATATAGAGGATGCTGGTTATAAACTATAATCTCGATACGTTGTCATATACAGGGTGACTTTGAAGTTGAGTCATTAATTTTCAGATAATGATTGTAGAAGGAAGATAAACCAAAATATGTGTGTAAAAATAAAAAAAAAATAAAAAAAAAATTTTACCTTGTTTTATAAAGTATCCTCCCGACAAGTATTTCAGTGCGGACCTGTATTTGATCGTGAGGTCCCCTGTGAGGTCTTAAGTAACCTGATTCACAAGCCCGTTGTACTACATTAACAAAGGCACGAGGGGTTGGTTGCACTCGATTGGGAAACCGATCCGCATAAACATGTGCCATTTTTTATTTCGTTTGAGCCACGCAACACATACCACTATTCACTGACACTAACTGTATACAAATGAATGAGATACTTGTAAAAACATCGTTCCAAATTCTTTCGCTTTTTTGTTTCCGATGCGATGAACCGATACGGCGGATTATATCCATTGTCGCCAAACACGACCACATAATATTGTTATTGAGACAGGGCGGTACTCAAACTTCCAAAGGGCTATAACTTTGTTACTTTAATTTTACCAGGAAAATGGTAAAGGAAAAAAACATTTCTTTTGATCAGATCTACTCACTGTTAAAATAAATGACTCAACTTCGAAGTCACCCTGTATAACATAGTATTGCATTGTTGTTTTATTAGCAATTATGATATACTAATTATTTATATATTAGCGAAACAGGTACTCTCTACATTTATTTTGATTAAAAACTCCTTTTTGAGATAGTTGCACTCCAACATTCTATTACGCAGTCGAACGATTGGCCTAACAACAGTTCGTTAGAAGTTGACGAGAGATGAACGTTTGGCCATACCTCAAGCACTGACGTTCCAAATTACCTAAAACAACGTTCATTTATTATCCATAGCATATTCCATTACATAACAGAAATGCAAATTAGAAGGTTCTGTTTACCCGACATAAATGTAGAGCACCTCGTCTACTTAAAAATCATCACTTTATCATGATTTTTAGAAAAGAAATGATCAAACGGTACCAACATGACCATTATGACAGCTGAGAAACACAAAATACCCAATGTTTAACACCCCTATCATAATAACGAGAAACATTTTCAATATAGTAATATATAATAATAATTTCAATATCATTGTTTTTACTAGTTTAAATAGTTTAAATAGAGCGTTTCTTAAAATTAATTGGTAGGCTATCGCGTATTCTAGAAGGGTTAGACATAAACTCTACCAACTATACCAATTTTTTTGAGCTTACGTCACAGTAGTAATAGAGGTCCAGATACTCCTCTGAGTGTAGCTAGGATTCAGTGAATGCCATATAGAAATGCTTCATTGGCTGGTAACGAATATCCTGTGTAAACCAAAGTTGCTGTCTAGACATAGAAGGATAGAATAGGCTGAGTCTGAATGGCTTGTGCGGCTAGACTTTGCCGTAAAATATAGACCTTATTTATTATTTGTCTAATTCTTCACTCGAATAATTGAAAACTTCATTAGCTAATAACCATCCTGACGTATCAACCGACATGCTTTGACTTTTTTGGTGTGCTCTGTTAGCATATTTGTCGAGGCTCCTATTGGTAGAATTCAGAGGGATCTCAGAACTATTTCAGGAGCTCTTTTTGTCAGACTATAATACCATCCGTGGATTGTGAGCCACCCTTTACCCAGGTAACAGTTATATTGTTGCTAGCTAGTTCGACCTGCGTATCCACAAACTACTTGCAGCTCACACTGAGGCTTCTCTCAAACAGAAGAATATCTTTTTCGGCCCGACACAGAAAATGTTTTGACACCTTCCTCTAAATGGTTTTTAGAAGCTGCAGTAATAGTGTAGTATCGATCAAATATGAATTTAAGAAGAATGCTGATGGTGTTACGCCAGGTGGAGTGGCTTGTTAGTAACTGCCCTATTTTGCAACCGATTTATATCGACTTAATTAAATCATTTCAACTGTCCAGAAAGCATGTCTCCATAAATTATATTAGTTCCACTGAAGTAATTTCAGAACTTACCCAAACTTCCCCATGATTTCCTCTCTCTGTTGCTATCGTTACCTGACGCTCTCAAAAACTCCATTAGATTTCCTTCATCATCTTCAGAAAGGACCCTGCTACGTCTTCGTCTGAGACTACCGTTGGGAGTTATATCTAGAAATAACAAAAATAAGTCGGTTTTTGACTATCAACTCAAGTCCCAACAGCATTTCGCCCAATGAGCTAGTTCATGAGAAATTAGTCACTATCTTTATAGAAAATACTTTGTAAAACATTATTACGGAATAATAGCAGTTCCAAACACTTCCCGCTGACCATAACTTCTGTCAGGCGCTTTAAACAAGATGTCCCGCTATATATTGGGTTAACTTTTTTGTATGAGTATTTAGAAAAAAACATTTCATAGAAAAGTTATTGAGCCTGACACAGGGTATCAGTGCTATCGAATAGATGTCAGTTTAATAAAATAATAATAATAATAAAACTTTATTCTATGAGACTTTTTTGCGAAGTCGTGTATAAAAAACCTAGTATGAGAAACTTCATATTAAACACTATAACTTTTATATGGCAGTTTTTTTCTAAACCGACATACAATTGAGACTTACTAACATGTTTTTTTTTGACGAAATTCGTGTTCTGGTCCTCACGAGCCCCTTGTAAGCCTACCTAGTCACTTTTATTGAATTATAGTAAGTTACCAAATTTTTCATGTTCGGCAGACTCACCTGGAGATTTTTCTTCTCTACTACTAGTATTAGTTTCAGTCCCATTTCCATTGTTGAAGGATCCAAGTCGTCTTCTGGAGAACGAAGGAGATCCCGTGATGGAGGTTTCATCCTCAGACATGCCGCTCCCGTTTGCAGACCTCCTTCCCTTTTTCATTGGGAATCCTCTCGTATCGTAGATCTGCAGGTCGATACTGAAGTCTGAATCTGGTGTACCGGCCATACATTCCACTGCAAAATAAATGCAAAGGTAAATACATTTTAAAATAAATTATGGATAGGAATTTTGAGATAGTTGATTTGGAACTAATTCGGCTCGGTATGAAGACTTTTTCTGCCTTCCCTATCTTGAGAGTAAGCTCCTAGCACTCCGTCGTCGTAAAATAAAATGTATTCGCATGTTTCCCAAGGTGACAATTCAGTAAACTGTACATACCGAACAGTCGGATAGAATAGAAACAATTTAAATAAATTATTATCTTCCAGTTTTGTGATAACATTTTTGTGCTGCTCGTATAAGTAGTTTTTTAAACGTTTATAATTAGGATTTTACATAAAATAGTATGGGAAAACGTCGTTACGACAGAAATCACAAATTTATCAGCATGACCAAACATGTCAATGGAATTGAAATACTCGCCTCATTTTATATAAGTTTTTTATTTTTTCTGTGAATTGAATCAAAATGGAAAATGTCAAGTCACAATGTTATAGGGTTTATCTCATTGTCAGTGGCAGAACAGTCGATCTCATTCAAACTTCGTAAGCACGTAGCATGTCTATACATTTATATAGGAGGTACTCAAAAATAACCGGACTAGCACTGCATTGGGGGAGCTTGTGTAGTACACATTTCTGCCCCTAGAGGCGTACAGCGCGACTCATTACCAGTTCAGTGCCACCTGAGTCGTCGATCTGGCTTGCTTCGTTCCTCTGTAGGTATCTAGAGCTGTTTCTTCCACCACGATAATGCACCTGCGCACATAGCCATCTCTGTTCGATAGTTCGACTTTTTCTTATTTCCACAGATGAAGAGGGGCCTGAAAGGACGCCGCTTTGACGACATTGAAGAGGTCAAGAAAAAAACGAGGGAGGAGCTGTCAGACATTTCTAAGGAAGACTTCATAAAATGTTTCGAGCATTGGAAGCACCAAATTATGCTACTATGAACCTACTTTGCCTCCCTATCATCGCCAGGAGTTGCAAATAATTATTTCAGCCGACAAAGCCTGCTTGACCTGCAAAGGGTATCACGTACATTTTAAATTAGGAATTTTGAGAGGATTGGCCTGTTCCTAAGCATTAAGGGAAACTGACAGGTAAGTAATGATTTCCTTTCTTCCCTCACATAAAATTAAAATACTATCACATCCTCACTGCAAAACATAATGTTGCCTGACTCAGTTTCAAAGTTAGTAAGGTTGCAGTTCAGTAAGGAATTCCCACCAATTTCGCTGTACCATTCTAATTCTACTCTACCTTCATGTACCATGATCCATCAGCACATATATTTTAAAAACCTGACGGTAGATACAGTGTAAGGTTCTATTACCCATCAAGATTCATACGATCAGTCTTTTAAAAACATTTCTATAATTTTGTCCGTTATGTCGATTTCATTGAAACTTACATCACTTGTCAAGGCAACAGCTCTGAAGATTTTGATCGAACGTAACTAGCACCTTGAGAAATCTCACCATTTTGTTTCGGTAATAGTTTCTTTATTTGAAGCTCCCGTCTGCACTTTGACAATAAAAAAATAGCAGTACTCAAGATTGAAAATATTCCTACTGTGAACTTACTTTGTCTCCTTTTCGTTGCGAGTAGTTCCTCTCGTTGTCTTCTTCTTTCGTTAGCTTGTTCTTCTTGTATCCGTCTCCTCTCATTTTCACACACAGCCTGTTTAAATTTGGTATAAAATCCGTGGAATATCCTGAAGCATTCTTCTAACTTGAATGAATTGATATCCTCACAGAAAAAGTCACTCAGCTCTCTACGTACGTGTTCCAATTGTCGCAAGTTGACCTGAAGGTTAGCTACCTCCCTTTCAGCCATCTAAAAAAATAAAACGATTAACGTCTCAACAGTACAACCTTTGATAAAAAATAACAATTTTTATATAGGGTGACTTTGAAGTTGAGTCATTAATTTTCAGATAACGATTGTAGAAGGAAGATAAACCAAAATATGTGTGTAAAAATAAAAAAAAAGTTTTACCTTGTTTTATAAAGTATCCTCGCGACAAGTATTTCAGTGCGGACCTGTATTTGATCGTGCGGTCTTGGAGCATCGGCATTCCCTCCCCTGTGAGGTCTTAAGTCACCTGATTCACGAGCTCTTTGTACTACATTAAGAAATGCACGAGGGGTTGGTTGCACTCGATTGGGAAACCGATCCGCATAAATCCATGATGCCGCGGCAGCATTTTGTGAAGACTCCCCCCGTAAATAAGAATCATGTCCACAAGTTCAGCATTTTCGTAAACATGTGCCATTTTTTATTTCGTTTGAGCCACGCAACAAACACCACTATTCAGTCACGCGTTACCGACTGACACATTGACTGAATACAACTGAATAAAATTGTAGTAAAAACATCGTGATAAGCGTTTAAAATTATTTCGCTTTTTTGTTTCCGATGCGATAAACCGATAAGGCGGATTATATCCGTTGTTGCCAAACACGAGCACATAATATTATTATTGAGACAGGGCGGTACTCAAACTTCTAAAGGGCTATAACTTTGTTACTTTAATTTTACCAGAAAAATGTTAAAGGAAAAAACATTTCTTTTGATTAGATCTACTCACTGTTAAAATAAATGACTCAACTTCGAAGTCACCCTGTATATTGATGGACCAAAATATAAGTATAATAATATTGTATGAGTAACGTAAAGTGATTAAAGTTAGTTTTTATATATTTTGTATTTAAAAACTGTCATGTCTTCTTAAAAAACGTTGTGAAATGTACCGCAGTTGGGTAATTTGTTTTAGTCTAAAAGTGCCACATCGTTTTGAAGTTATGTTATTTAAACAAATGCATCGTTTCGGTTCTTTTCGTTTACCTCCCTTATGGATCCTAAAAATCATTTATTCGAATAATGCAATAGAAATTCGTGATCAAATGTTTTTCTACATTAGGTTTGGTACGTAAACTTTTTTCTGTTTTTGGCAGCAATACATTTATTCGTTTGTAATGCTTCCCGACTGTCTCGTGGAACTCTATAGAATTTGCATTCACTCTCATTGCCATTATTTTTAAAATTCAGAATGTATCGCGACGCATTTTTGATTTTATTTACTTTATTACACCAAAACGCATAACTTTCACCATAGAGGCTACGAGTGTGCCCACTATCAATCCGAAAATGTTTCTTTTTTTGTCATGCGCAGTAATCGATGCAGTTCTCCCAGGTGTGCACTTTGCCTCCGGGGTACCTTTAAAAGCTAAAATTGCACGACACCTTTGTTTCTGTTAAACCACTGCCCCGCACACATTTTGCAGTTAACACAAAAGAGTTGCTGTCATTGTGTTATAATAAGTGTCTACATTGTATTATTTGAGAAATAAATATGAAAAATTTTGTATGGTCACCACATAAAATGGTATGTCCAATTTTGCTCCAACTAGGCTGCGCTTGTATGGTTGGAGGTCAAACTATGCAAAGTAGGTAGAATCAAGCCGAATCGCACAGCAAGTATCTGTTGTGTGATTCAGTAGACTACACAGTCGAGCAAGTTCGCAAACATTCCAGGCCGCGCGTCGCACTGTCATCAAAATTAAATTGTGAATTCAGACCTGCAAAAACTATTTCAGTATACAAAACCGATAAAAATTACAAAATTATTCGAGTAGTCAAAGCAATAATGCTTAAGCTATTTCAAATGGTTTACTTCTTTTCTTTGCTCTATTTCTCCTTCCTTTGTTCCCTTCTTTCTCTTTTCCCCTTAAACATGTTTGGTATCTGGGAAGCCAGACCTGACAGACTAACAGACCGACGAGACATTTAACTAAGAGCAAAGGTCCACCGGACCGCTCCGACGAACAATGACGAATAGTAGTAGTAGGTATAAAAAGACAAATTTGATCGAAAAGTAACTTATTTTAATCCAACGGCCTCAAAAAATATTTCACGGGTTACAGGGCAAATGCGGATTAATGGATTTTGACGTATGATGTGTCGCTGGATTCATCTTAGTAGTGTACCTGACACTGGCTATATTAAAATTTTATAAAAACAAAATGACGGATTTTACTACAAAAACAGCCTAAAAATTCCTATTTCACAGGGCACAGCTTATACGGCTTGATGGATTTTGAAAGTCGAGATGTTGTTGGCTTCATCTTAGAGTGCGAGTTACACTGGCCATATTAAAATCTTGTAAAATCAAAATGGCGGATTTTAAACAAATATTTCAGGTTTGAAATTTCTATGTCACGGTCCACGTCTAAAACTACTTGATATATTTGGACACACGATGTGTTTCTAAATTTGTCTTGATAGGTCAAGTGACACTGAGTATACCAAAATTTCGTAAAATCAAAATGGCGGATATAAAACTTCAAACTTGAAATTTCTATTTCACGTACTACAAACCGAAAGACTCGATGAATTTTTTTGAGATTTGGGGTGTCCCAAGATTCGCCTTAATACCAGAATCAAATGCATTCCTTTCAGTTACTGCAGTACTCGAGTTCATCACATTTTTTGTCTATTGACGAAAGCAACTGATCAGGAATTGACATATTTTGTCTGTTTATAACCGTAGGTATGACCTGAACTTGAACTAGCCCCAGCTGTTTCAACCTTTCCCACTGAAATGTGGTCCGGTGATGTTATGCACTTTTATCTATAAGACGACGATGTTTCCACGTTTCCACTGTAAGCTCCTAGCGTTGAGTATGGTTAACTTACCTGCAGAAAATCGGTCATTTGAGCTTTGATCTCCACCTCAGTCGTTGGAAGCTCTATTTGCTTCTTTATTTTCTTGATCCGCAAATCCAATGCATTAATTTCATTGTGGAGCTGTTCAACGGTGAGTCTAAAAAGTAAAATTGTTCAGACAACTACCTGGTACCACCATACTAAGCTGCAAAAGCGGATTATCTTTGAATACGATATAGGCACTGATTTTGCGGATGTAAAGAGATGCTGCATTAGCAGTGGCGTACATTGTGTCTCCTCCGTTTTTGTACCTGAATACTCAGGATGTCCTTGTTCTTTTGTTATCATAAACAATTATCATTCATACTATTGGATGGTTTTATATAGAGGTATTGCATTAAAAAGCATAAAGAATATAGCGTTAAGTATATTGACTGCACTTTACATGCAACACTGCCAGTTCATAAAAGATTGTGTTCGAAATAAGTTGACCATTCTTAGAACAAAGTTGAATAAAGATAAATGCAATAACGGAGTTAAATAAGCCAAAATGTTCAAAAAGGACTACACAATTAGTTCCCACCCATTTGACATCGTTGCTATCTAAGAGTATCTCGGTTCTACAAACTTGGTCTTCTTGGAGCGGGCCGCCCTGATTTCGCAAGTGTAAGTGCCGTATCAGCCGCGTCTTGGTTAGGCTAAGATGTAGCTGATGTCTTTTTCTTAAAAAAATATACGCCTATGAATCACCCGTTATTTTGTTAAATCATATCCCTTTAACGCAGTTGTTTGACTAACAAACGGCTTTGCAGTTGATTTTATTAAGAAAACCCATTCAGGAAGGAAATCTGAATATGACATTGTTACACGATAAGATTGAATAAATGATAGATATACTCACTTCGCAGCATCTTCAAGTATGCCAATATTGTCAGTAAATGAAAGAAGATTTCTATTCTTTTTTTCAGCTTGCTAGAAAGTGAAAGCAATCATAAATACTAAAAATCAAATAAATGTCTAAAGTATAACTTACCAATGCTACAAAGTGTATGAGATTCATATTTGGCTTATTTGCCCTAATTTCTGTGATTTTTTGCAGGGACGAAAGTTTGACCCCAGCAGCATTTCCAGCATAACCTCCCTGAAAATAGTTAATCAATATCGTACTATATCTCATATAATTGTCGTTGTACTTTTGTAATTGAGAGGTACTGAATTATCAGTACTAGTTGCAATATTCTGCTTTGATTTTGGTAACTATAGTGCAGCTATTATGGCAAGATTGCAGCATATGGATTGGCTATGAATATGTCTGTATCTATTGATTCATCTACAATCTGCAGGCCCTATCCCATGAAAATACTAGACTAGTACATTACAAGTTACAAGTACAATTACTTGTAAATATGGTCAAATAATATTTTGTTCCACCTACCACCGAATGTATATAGTTGTAAAAAACGTCACCCAGAAATTACCAGTGCAGCAATGTCAAAATAACATTTCGTAAATATGTTAGGTACTGTTCGTCATTTTTCATCAAAGCGGTTCGGTGAACCTGTGCTTTAGTTAAAAGCCTCGTCGGTCTGTTAGTCTGTCACTTCTGTCTACCCACATGCCAGACATGTCCAAGCGGAGAAAATGTGTTAATATGTAAAAGTGTAATAAAGAAGAGAAATGTTTTAATCGGTGCACAAAATGACAATAGTACATCCATGTATGTAGAAATATCATAGAAAAATAAGACTGTATATCCGGTATATCGATTCTGCAAAAAGGCGTGGCGATGTTTCAGATATGCTTTATGCATTAATTTAGAAGAACTTCGTCGTCATTACATATGATATCTTTGAAGACGGTATTAAGGTTACGAGCCATCGAGGAACCGGTATTTTTCCGACAAAGAGCTCCTAGATAGAATAATGTTCGAAGAAAAGTCACTCAAAAATGAGATTCCATGTTTCCATTCATTGAAATCGAATTCTATACTAGAATTAGTACTACTAAAAAATCACAAGAAAAATTCAACCAGTTGCCCTTTTATAAAATATAAGCATCCAACTTGAGAATATGGCATTGTAACTTGTAAAATATGAAGTAGTACTAGTATACTGTATTTGAAACTTACATAGAACACAATAGCTCATATTAGTACACGTTATAAGTAAATTCACTTGTAATTATTACACCATACTGCTTACGGAATAGGGCCTTAACAGTAATATATGAAAATAGATAGGTCACCTAAGAATATTACCGTATCCATATCTCCGAGTAATAGACGGTTTGCACCACCGAGTGCATTCAAAATCGCTCAGCTTCGCGCTGCCAGTCGAGATTAAACCGTTCAGCTACAGCTTGTTCGAAGCCATCCGCTCGGCTACGCTCTCCTCAAGAAAAATAACTCATGGGCCAGGATTTCAGGAGACGTCCAGTCCAACTCATGGCTTAAGCTGTATTCCGCTGTAAACTAACATCGTAGCGGATACATTCGGACAAGTTGTAGCTGTGGAGTTTAATCGTGGCTGGCGAGAGGTGAGTGGATGTATTCGGGCAGAGTGTAGCTGAGCGAGTTTTAGTACAATGGGTGACGCAGACCGCCTGTTACGCGAAGGTACCTATATGTTGCATACGTCTAGCTGCAGTGAGAAAATGTGGTCAATTAAACAGTTGTTCTGGACATTTTTCATTACCCGTAATAATTTTTTTAATTGCTGTAACTAAATCATTCGGATTGAATAAACTGAATTTTTTGAACCAGTTAAATTGAAAGTAAGCTACTAATAAGCTAATTAGCTTGAAAATAGCAAACCATGTACCTATTTAAAAAAAACTGTAATCAGTGTAGGTGATTTAGTTCATGTAGAAAAGTACATGTATAACAATTAAATATTTTAACAAACACATTTAAGCTCATTATTTTAATCCCGAAGTAAAATACTCGAGAATAAGGCGCTTAGTGACCCACATCGTGGTTAGAATATTTATCGCTCCAAATGAAACACTGTGTATAGGGGAGTTACTGATGTCGACACAGAATGGGAATAACTTTTAAATCTTATTCATGCAGCCATATTTAGGTCAATAAAGGGCATTTATACCAAACATGTGCTAAACATAGGCTAACCGTGATTTTCTTTTATATCGAATGATGTATGTATGGGAAGTGGAGGCTCCTGTTGGTGTACTCTTTGTAACATTTGAAAACATCCCAGTTTGTTTAAAGTTCTGTCGAATTTATTAAGTTCCTATTTTAATTTGACAATATCAACTATCAATATCAAGTTCTCCAAATTTTTCTAAGATTATCAGAACACAGTTATAATATAAATCATTCAGTAAAATGTAATTTGTTTTTTTAAATTGCTTTACTTAGAGCAGATAAATAAACTTATTTTAAAAGGTCATAATTTGGTGTGATCAATCTAAATAAACGGTTTAATAAATCGATTGGCTTTTTGCTTAATTAAACTAGTGTCATAGATTTAAGTAAATGTTTGATACATCGAAGTTTAATTGAATGAATTAAACTTGTTACCTGTCAATTTTTAATTGGCCTAACTAAAATTTTAATTGCTTCAACTTAATTTTTTCGTCGATGTGTTATTCGTGGCAATGTAGCAGAAGGTTATACTCTATAGCAGCTACATAGTGCAGTAAGAATATTATCTATTTAGAAGCACGTTAATTGTTCTTCTATTCGACATAATTGTACTAGATTGGAGCTAAATGTTCAAATGTGTTTTATCCACTCTTGAGAGATTACTTGTGTTAGTTAAAATAAAAATAGGTCGATCGTAGTCGTGTCCTATATCACCACTGACTAAACGTTTCTTTTACATGAATACTTAATCTGTACTTACTGCATTTAAAAAGTTTCCAGCTATTAAAATCATATACAGGACCTCTTGTAGTGGCTTATTTGTCATCAGGTCTGCAAAATGGAATGTGTTACTAACTAAGTGACATATAAATCCGAACACAAAGTTTAAATGGTTTTATTTTAATAAAATTTTGTATAAGTACTTGATGAATCATAATAAGTAAATGATAAAAATTTCAAAATGATTGCACTGCTTTAAAGCCCTTTGACCTTTAATAATGTGTGGATGCACCCTGATGTGCTACGCATTCTCCAACGCGCCTAGGCATGCTTCTGATCAGGTGGTCAATGTCCTCCAGTGGTATCTCATTCCAGGCAACCACCAACTCCTCTGGAAATGCTTCTAGAGTCTGAGGAGGACGTTGCAAATTGAGCAATCTCCTACCCATCATATCCCACACGTGCTCAATTGGGGATAATTCGGGAGATCTTGGTGGCCATGGTAACAATGTGACATCATTATGTTGAAAGAAGTCTATTGTGACTCTTGCAACATGTGGTCGGGCATTATCTTGTTGGAAAGTTAGATCTGCCAGGGTGTCAAGATAGGGTAAAAGATGGGATTCTAGAACTTCGTGGATATAACGCTGCGCGTTCATGTTACCTCTGATGAAGATTAAAGGAGACCTGGATAGCTATAGCACCCCAAACCATAACTCCAACAGTGTGATGAACATGTCTTTCAACAAAAAACTGTGGATTCCTCCTTTCACCACGTCGCCTTCTAACCCTGGCACGACCATCGTGCATGCCTAAACAAAATCGAGACTCGTCACTAAAGACAATAGTGTTCCATTCCTGATCCCAGAGTGACCGTTGTCTGCACCACTCAAGGCGATTACGTCGGTGTTCTCGAGTTAAAGGGAGGACCCAGTGTGGTCGGTATGAAAACAAGCCAAAACTTCTCATTCGTCGGTAAACACTTCGCATGCCAATAAGTCTTTCGTGTTCTGCAAACCATTCATTTGCAATGGACCTGGTAGTGGAGAAACGGTCCCTTAAGGCCAATAATCTTAGGCGGCGATCTTCACGGTCTGTTGTTCTACGGCGGCGTCCAGTGCCCCTTGCTCTTTGCGTACGGCCTTCTCGAAGCCATGCCTGACAACACCTAACCACAGTGTCTACACTTCTTTCCACTCTAACTGCAATTGCCCGAAAAGAAAGACCAGTTTTCCGAAGTTCCACTATACGGCCCCTATCAAACTCACTAAGTTGACGAAATCGTACAGGTCTCCGTACTCTAGGCATCGTAACCGATCGTAAAGGATGTCAAGAACCAAAATCCGCCAACGTTGATTCTTTACTGCGGCTGAAATATTCATTTTTAGAGCGTTAGTGAATTAAAAAAAAAGCAGTATAAAAACCGGAATGTCCAACTGATAAGGCTGAAAATTTTTTCACTTGTTATTTACAGTAAGATAAATACATTCACCAACTTTTATTAAAATAAAACCATTTAAACTGGGTGTTCGGATTTATATGTCACTTAGTATATATTATAACGATTTTTAGGAATAAGTAACTCGTATTACCTTGAGCTGCTACTATCATTGAGGTGATACTTGGTTCAAGATAGCCCATATTTGAAGCAAATTCCTCTTTAAGTAGCATGCCTTCAATTCGTAATTTGTAACTGAAAACAAAATATGTACAGGTCAAATTTTTAACAATGATCGGCTAATCAACTTTTTCACAGATAGTAAATATGGACAATTGACATTAGTTGCTGAAGAATCAACATTTTCATCACATTCGAACTTTTGTTGGTTATGTACATTCGAAAATGATGGGGAGCTAATTGAGTAATGGAAAAAATAGATGCATTTTATCTTTTTACTATCAATGGTCAATTACTTAAAAACAATATTATCTTCACGTCACCTTAAGGAATGTACTCAAGGCTGGCGTTCATAGACTCGAACAAATTAATTTTGAAAGAAGAATATCATTAGTACGCTTTTCTGGGCTGTTCAAAACGTTTTGAGCTAGACTTGGGAATATTTTGCGATAAAACAGTAATAGAAAATGATCATTCACGGGGGAAGCTTTCAACGCACATCTTCATATACATTTTTACTTCACCAATGGACGATTATTTAAAATATATCAATATTATCATCACATTACCTTAAATGTTAAGATAATCATTACAAGCGTTCCTAGAGTCCAACAACATATTGCTCTTAAAAAAAGAATATCAGTAGTGCGTTTTTCTGGACTGTTCAAAACGTTTTGTGTTAGACATGGGGATATTTTGCGATGAAATTAGGGTAAGTCAGGGTGATATGGCGAACAAAAAAATTGACCCGTGCAAAACACAACAAAATTTATACTTAACAAAATAAAGTCACTCATTTTCCACAAAATATGTTGGCAACAACTTAACAGTATCATATCCTCTTTAACGCATTACTGAAGTAAGAAAAAACACATTCATTTTTTTTAATAAATTCGCCATTTCACCCAGGCATGTGGCTGAAATGGTTAATGCATATTGGGTGAATTGGTGAGTTTACTTTTTTGCTTTTTACCACATATATCACACGTGGATTCGTATTTTGAACAGTCTTTGTGCAGCCATCGTTGGCAGCTAATACATTTGATCCAATCCACGTCCATTCTAGTGCAACTGTACAGTTCACCACACCCTACACAACAACTGTCTTCATCGTTCACGTCGTCATCATCATCTTGCAAGTGGATATCTAGCGATGGGTTGGATTCGGTTTCAGTGGTAGACGGTTTTAATTTTTTGAGCTCCTTGATTTTAGTATTTCATTTGGTAGTCTTTTTGGTTGTGGTTCTTTCTTTGGCTTTCCTTTTCGCATAGGCTTCACTTTTCACTGATTCAGTTGTTTTGTTTTGTCGTTTTCTGTTTCGTAGGTTGACGATGTTAAATGGGGATTTCAAAACATCTGCTAAACCTCTGGATTTCTAATTTTATCTAATTTAGGTACCGGCGAAATTTGATCCAAAACTTTGCCAGGAGTTATTTGCTGCTTTTCTGTTGTCACTTTTGAAGCTAGAGCTGACGCTTCTGATGATAAATCCATGTTTTTCTGTGGCTTTCCCGTGCATTGCGAATAGCCAAGTTGTGGAGAGGCATAGAACTAGGTTAAAAATTCAAGCACTGGAAAACCTAGTTCTGGTTTCAAGAAATACTTTACACGTAAGAAAAGTCTTCGCCCAATCACCCATGCTCGAATTCACCATTTTCCATGGTGAATAGCGTGGTGAAGAGTTCAGAATATTAAAACTAATGTTTTCTAGGTTGTGTACCATATAAATGGTCTAAGAAGGCAGATAATTTAAAAAAATACCGCGCAGACTACGCTTCCTGAAGCAATACCTACAAATGCATGCATCCCATAAAAATTTATGAGCACCAAAAACAGTTTTTTACGAATAACTTACGATTTCTAAAACAATAGTTGTTTTTATCAGGTGCACGCAACACACAGGATAATAACCTTTCGCCATTCAGGCTTACAGTAACATCTGTGCTCCCGGTGAAGAACTAGAGCAATTCACCATTTCACCCGATGCAACATATCACCCCGACTTATCCTATAGTCTTTTTTTCTTGATGATGATGTAACAGAAAATAAACTGTCACAGGGGAAGTTTTCAACGCACATCTTCATATTATATCGTCTTTACTTACTTTGGTAGATTTGTTAGCTGTATCAAAAATTTCTCAGCATTTCCTAATTTATTGAAATCTCCGTTAAAAGATTTCAACATATCCAATTCATCTACTTCTGGTAACAGTTTGAGCAAGCCTTTGAGTTTTTCAGTGCCTATTTCGTCGTGTTCGCCATTACTTATAAGTTTAATTATATCCCCGTTCGAGCTGAAAAAAAATCAATTATTTTGAGCATAGTATATGCTATGAATGTGAGACTTCAGGCTCTTCGAAAGAATCACATACAGGACGTTATAGAATGTTATGAAGAAAATAAGTATGGGCCCCGAAAATCCATATTTCCAGAATTTTATTGAGGTAAATTTTGCGTTTAGCAAAAAATTGCACATCCTTAGTTTCTTTTTCAAAGATTAGTTTATTAGTTACTCCTAAGTCATATTGGTTTTATTTGAAAGAAGTTTCTTGGAATTTTTCGTTATTTACGTTAAAAAAGTTCCTGCTCTATTATTAAATGATTATTTCCAAAACAATGAGTCTGATCAAAAATTTCCGTTAGGCGTTCTTTAAGTTGGATCAATCAATACTGACTAATTGCATAAACCTGTGGCATATGTTTTTGTACATGGTAATATACTGTAATGCTTGCATGCACCACAGCTGATTTCTTCACACGTACTGTTTTTGTGTAAAAGAATCGGAGTATTTCCTAACCGATTTTCATATCTTTACCCGCTGTGATAACATTCGATTACGCCCTGTATATACTATATCCTTACATACTGAACTTACCATCGAAATTGCTTAAGAAATATATTTACATTGAGACTCCTTTTGCCGTCCAAAAGTGTAATCTGCAAATATAAAATCGAAGTATAATGGAGAACTTATTGACAAAGGTTTTCCTAGAAAAGCTTTGACTCATTTTATATACGTATATGAAGCATACTGAGTTTCATAACACCGTGTATTTGACATACCTCAGCTGTATCCCTCTTCAACCTTCTATCGTGGTTGTCAGACGAATCTCTGTTTCCTAGCTTTGGTGATGAGTGCGCAGATGGTGGTGCCTGTTGACAGAACAGTCCTTCCATTTCTGACCAATCCATATCTGCCATTGGTGAATTTTGATGCGTGTTGGCCACTTGTGTCCAGATATTCTTCTTGCCGACAACCTAATATCAACAGAATCAACGGTATTAGATTTAAATAAGTAAGCTTTTGTACTGTAAATGGTCCAATTTCCTCAGATTTCGAGATCAGAAAATTTCATAGCAATATACAGTTTGACAGCGATAATTTGGCGATGATAGTACTAGCGCCTGCATCCGTCCGCGTCCGCGTAATATTTTCTCTAATTGACCAAGTTATTAGATAATCGAGAATCGACATTGGATCATTTGAAATAAATGTTAGAACCAATTAGCATGTGCCACAGTCTACAGTGTCTCGAGCTGTCAGTATCACAGCTGCAAGCATACGGAATATCTCAAACACATTTTGCATGCGAGTTCAATCCTGCACACGACATTTTTCTTTCCAATGTCCCTCAACATGACCGCCCTTAATCCTGGTGTGTTATATATTCCATTCCTCCTCTGGGCACTTGTTGCCAGCGTAAGCTTTCACTGGGGTCATATACAGGTGATCACTTCTCATATCAGGTAGTGCGCCTCGTGAACCTAATTACAGTGTTGCTGTGCTATTGGGTGTAGAGTTTTGGCTACCCGAAAGGTGAGCAATCACTGAAAATTTCCTTTGTTCTACTGTGCTGCATGGATTTAGAACCATAATACTTTCACGTACATGATCACGAATGTTCTAAACTGTAAACTTGTAAAGATGCTTTGATCATATATATATATATATATACATATATATATATATATATATTTCTATTAATGGCTTACAGGCTCATTAATTGCCGATAAGGATAGGGAAATTAACAGGCTCGGACAGGTCTGACGCCTGCAGCATCTGGGGGTTGTTATGGAGCCCGATTGCTGGGTTCAGGTTGTTATGTTATTTACTGCGGAATATCCTCTATTAGGGGACTGTGTGTCCCAGGGACTTTCTGCTCAAGTTCCTACCGTCCGCGGACAAAAATCATAAATACATAATCTGTATGATGGATTGATTCACAGTGTCACAATAGTACACACCATCTGGATGGGTTTCATGGAACCAATATTGCCATTTACACAGCCTGTCATGTTCAGGCCCTACGCAACCGTCAACCTTTAGCAGTTAATAGGGACCATCCAATCGATGAGGTGTCTTTTTTCAAAATCTAACATTATTGTGAGGGATATGACTAAACGGATTTGGATGAAATCTGGTACAAAGATAGATTAAAGCCTGGAATACACATAGGCTACCTTTAGACAGCACAAAGTGCCATCTATTACCAGGACCAATCACTAAGTAAGTGAAAATATCAGTCTGGCTGTTGCAACTGATTCCCAGTTCGTATTGCCAGCTGGGTCATCAGTGCGGCCGTTGGATGCTGCCGATTCTGAATCTATAGGAGATACGGTCTACTCGTCATTGAATAAACTGGTAACATAGCTTTAGTTCGTCCGACCACAAAGACAGCCAACCACAGCTACTTGGCAATTCCTCAGTATGGTGTATGCTTGGTCTCGGTGAACAACGAACGGAAGCTGAACAACTCTGTTCTAGTCAGGGTATAGGGTTTATCAAAATAAGACATCACAGAGTGCTATCTATTACCGGAACTGATCACTGCGAAAGTGAAAACATCAAGCAGCTGACTCTATCACCAAAAGTCGCGAAAGCGAAAAATTTGTTTATCCGTGAATTGTCTATCCTCGGATAAAACCTCTCCCTCCCCTAATGAAGCACCATGTACAAACAGTTGTTGAGGTGAGGACTGATTTTTACTTATGAATTTACCAGAAGGTTCAAAAAATTATTCTTTGTGAATACTGTACCAGACGGTGTATAAACGTTATAAGAGTGAAGTAACAAATGTTCCTCGTATAAAGTTGTGAAGTATTAAGGTTAACTGCGGCTTAAGGATTTTTGTCTCACTCCTCATCATGCTTCCTTTTGCATTTTTTCACTGAGTAGAGAATAAAAAGTTTGCCGTTATAGACGTAAAATCATTAAAGTTAATCAAATTCAGGGAATATGCTAAACCCCGCCATAAACAGCGTGGTCCCTATTGACCAAACAAACACTGTCGCATAAGCGTCCATCAATTATAATTATGGAACTTGAAAATCTCAATTTATGCGAATTAAAATTCATTAAAAGCGTCAGTGGCTTTTATCGTTTTATTGCTTTTTCTACTTATACAGAGCAATTTATATTTGATTTATAGCATTATTTCTGGTATTTTATATGCAGTGTTCAAAAGCAAAAAAATGTCGTTCCATTTACAGCCTGATTATAATGGTTTATATGCCATATCCATAGATGCCGAGAAACAGATATACATTTGAAGTTGTTAGTGTGGCGGAAAAAATGCCGATCTCTACAAATCGCAGCATAGTTAAAATATAAACTGAATAGTAACAAATTGAAATATGAATGCATTTGGTGGAGGTTGAAAAGCTTTGTCTCAGGAAATTAAAAAAAAACTGTTTGTAGCAGGTCAAATAACGAAATCAATGAAACGAGTTTTGAAATATTTTGGGAAAAGTACTGCTACTAAATGCATATGATTCTTCCAATAATTATTGTCTGGTGTATACAATGCGGTGAATAAAGCTGATTCACGCTATACATGATTTCATTTTTTCTTGACGTATGGAGGGCAATGAATGATGCGTTGAAGCTTGCAACTCTAACTTGGATAAGAAAAAATGGCGTCAAGTAGATTGACTCCATACTTCCCACGCCTTCGAAACAACTTCAAGCACAATTTTCCATGTAGAACAGTGGTATCGAAAAGACGTAGGTTTTGCCAGAAGCCGTAGTGAACTATTTGGGGCTTTTCAAGAGAACATTTTTCTCAGATCGCGTCAATCAGCATGGCCTCATTTCTTTCGAGCTCTGGTGAAAACTGTTTGTCAATAATGTTTGATAACAGATTATAATAGCTCTTGATACGTACTTATATACCATATAGACTATCCTATATAATATGATCTCAAGGAATCCAGTAACCTCATTAAATGACACTCCTAATGCTCGTATATATAGATAATATCGCGCCCACTCCATATGTGCATATCGCGTCACCCCGCAGTCTGCTACCTGCTTTCACAAGTTCCTCAGATCCACTATCAAAGATGCAATATTTACAACCCCGTGGCGCAAGGCAAGTGCGACCGATAGGTACGGGGTTCGACTGCTGAAACTATTATGTAATATATGGTTAAAGGGCAAATGTACGGGAAAATCTATGATGTGCAAAATGTGTCTAATAGGTGCATAGAATCATCGGGGTTGGAAGTGTTTTAATATTCTAGCAACAAAAACGTGTGGTTCAGCATCCACCACCCCCCGTTTTTGATCTAAAATATTTTTCACAACTGATTAGGATCATCTGAAACATCAAAAAGCGGTTTTAATTATTCCTTTTATAGCAGTTTTCTTCGCCGCTACTGGACCGATTTTCGAAAACTACTCCGTCTTTATAGTAGACTTAACGATATATTAAAAGTACGTGTTGCAACGAAAATGGAAAGTAGATAAATAGAATGAAAGATATTCGAAAACGATTTGCGCAACAAGATTGACATCTTATAGGTGTATATTTCTATCTGAAGATATACAGGAACTACATTTCCATGGCACAACAAATATTCGGGATGTTCCATTTAAAATTTTTGTTAAAAAACTATTTAAAATGGCAGAAGTCAACGTCTTCAATGATAAGCATTTTTCAGATTAATGATAAAGTAACGACACAAATGACAGTCAAAATCGTACAGTATGTATATTATATCAATCTTCAAACCCATCCTAGATGCTTGTTGATATGGACCAGACCAGAATATGTGGGATGGAAAACGAGTCTATTGCGGAAAATCTATAGCATGAGCCTGTATTAGAATCTAAAGTTCAAAATATTCCTCCATTTTTTATTTTAAACGTCTACTCACCTTATTATTAGGAATCTTATTCCAGTTGATTGTTTTCATTTTAGTCTTAGGTGCAGGTATCTCCTGTTGCGGGAGCTTCTCGGCAATCACTGTACTGGTTTGAGTTTGAAAGGAGGTTGGAGGGTCCTGGAAACGGTGTGGTGGGGGAACGGGAGGAATGGGAGCAGACGGGGGGTTGTGAGGGGGCGGAGGAGGAGGTACGGTCGGAGGAGGGGGAGGTGGTGCTGGAGCTGGACTATGACCTGAACCTGGAAAATATGGTTTCTTATTGTTAGGTAGCAATAATGCGGTTTTCATAATGGAACAGTGGAGGACAGCATAAACACAACATAGTGCCAGTGCGAGCAATATCAGTATGAAAAAACTATATCTCTGATATATCAAAAATGCTCGGGTTTGCTGTTCCCTAATGGATTATAATTCCTCGAATAAATAGGGAAAGAGGCAGAGACAGATTGACTAACTTGTACCCAGACACTTTCAAAACAAAAATAGGTGTTTATAGCTTATATATTTTACCAAGATAAGAAACAAAAACAGTGAGGATAAGACCACTCCGAAGGTAACTTGCAGTCCCGCCTAACATGTCCAGTGACGAAATACATGTCACTAATATAACACTTTGATTGTTTTCTTGAGTACCACTCTCGAATGCATAAGAGGAATAATACTACAGTGGCCTGTAATGGCAGCTGCTCTAAGCAGAATATCCACTATAAGATCCGCCTTAAAATATATTATTATATAAAAATGAGGAAGCCAGAAGACTGTGGTTTGCACAGTTTCGACTTTGGATTTTGATCCAATGTGAGTGAAAACACAGATATTGCAAGAATTTCAGCTAAGAATCTTCAAAATGCCTAAGCTAATCACTGTCACTGTCCGTGGAAGTTTATAGGCCCATTACAGGCGAGGAATATTAGTCTTTCAGCTGCATCTTAGCATCTGTGTCACTTCAGCACGGTGCACGTTAAAAAGCTTCAGTGAGTAACCGAATTACTTACCAAATGACGGTGGTGGTGGTGGAGGACCCCCTTGAGGTGGTGGCGGTGGACTCATGGGCATAGACAATCTCCTTTGTCCACAAGTGCACTGCCCCACTCTCGACTGGACACTCGGCGTCCTGAGTAACCGTTGGACATCTTCTCTGTTTTCGATCAACGTGGCTCTGTGGATCAGTCTCTCGGCAGCGTCCCAAACCAAGTCGCTTAGAGGATGAGATGGATCTATCCGGACCAGGTGCTGTAGGATTAGCAGGAACGGAAGTTCCTGAGGTGTCTCGGCTACCTGTAAATGAAAAATGACAAATGACAAAAAAGTCCAAAGAGTCTCCTTCTGAATTATTATTGCGATGACATAAGGGCAAACTGTAACTTAAGAAGGAGTAAGGCTAAGCAATATGAACTAAAACACACTAGCTAATTGTGGATTATTGTTTTTCTAATTCTTATCACCACTGACAAGAAGAGATAATAATGATTGCTGAAATACGCAAAAATGAGCACTATCATCTTCCTTGTAAGCTAGGATATACTTGGAATCACTCGTGTAAAGTAATATGACTGGTCTGTACCAAAAAATTATTGTTTTGATCCGGTCTAGGCCATGTCATCCAACCAAGTAATCATCGATGAAAGCATGGGTCAATTCTTCAAAATATAAATAGTTCAAGTATCAATTATGACGTTTAACGACTATACATACGGAAATATTTTACAATAGAAATTTTGATTGACAAGTTACTCATATGGATTTTTCTCGACGCTTTATATCAACATGTTCACGCCCTACTCTAGTAGTTTTGTACATTCGGTGTCATTATATTAACAGGTTCTTAATAAAGTTCTTGTCTAAACTTAAATATAGCTCGATGATGGACAGAGTTGTCAGCTTAAAATTTTGTACATATATAGATAACGGCATTAACAAATATACGAGTAGATAAATATCTGTACGGCTCAAACAACACCAGCGGCGTAGAAACTGGAATATATTGACCACTGAAGAAAAAAAATGACCTCTAAAAAAATTAACTGATTTCGTTGAAACAGTGTATGAATACCGCATATGATTTTACATGACATGTTTTACTTGAGAGATTTTTGGAAAGCCGTTGAAATAATTTAAGTTTGACACACAATTCTATATATTATTATACATATAAAATTGATGTTTTGTATGGTTGGTATGTTCAGTGGTAAAGAAATTCGCAACAAATACATATATATATATATTTAGGGACCTGCATTTATAAGAGCTTTTTTCTTATAATGTAGATACAAACATCTATCACATTTAATGAACAATTATATAATCTAAGGCTACTCAACCCCACGCCCGCAAGCCATACAAGCCCGCAGACAAGCTTTAAATGGCTGGCGCTGGCAATTTATGAAATTCAAATTCAAAGCTAAATTAAAACTATTTTCAACTAACTTAGCCGCAGAAAATATTGACCATTTTCCTACACCAAATCATTATTTTATAAATAAATATAAAAGGTAAGTAAACTACTGCACTCTAAAGAAGGTTTCTGCCGTAAAAGTGTCTTCGAAGCCACAAAATTCTTCAAAATGTTGTGATTACTTCTGGAAATTGGTACCGAAAGAAGAATTTCTGACAATAATTGACTTAGCGTTACAGTTCTTTGGATCAACATACATAATATGTTTGTGAAAACGTTTTCAATCCTTAATTATGTAAAAAAGAAATACAGCACATCATTGACTGAGCAGGATATTTATGACATGTTTTTGTCAACATTGAATTTGCTGCCTAACAAAAAAAATATATTACAACAGAAACAATTTAGATTTAGATTTGAATTTGAAATACTTTCATTCAATTTTGTTTCTTTATTTAGCATAATATGCCTTTTGTTGTATCATTTCACATAACAATCAATAATTAAATAATTGAATTTTTTATTGCATAAGTTCTATCCATTAATAAGTGTAGTCTGCTTGTTCTAATTATTATTACGTTTGCATCCAATAAATATCGGTTAGTTTCAAATGTTCCAAAATTTAAAATTTTAATTGACTGATGCAGTAATACCGAAAGTAGAACACTTTTGGTCTATTGCAAAACCAAGAAATTATACTAATACCTGTTACAAAGTGTTTCTTAGGAAATCGTTTACAGATATGTTAGAAACTAGAGAATCTAATAGTTTCATATATAATTATTATACATTGAGTTACACTTGACTTGTACACGTTTAATCAAAAGTAACGCTTATTTTTATTAATTCTTAACAAAATGTGCTCAAATTGGGGTAACTATTTGGTGGCTACGAGTGTGTCATCCAAATCAAGAAAATAAATGCAAAATGTTTTGATCCTGTTGTTGTGAGAATTCAAAGATACCCACCTGTTTCAAAATGGCGTAGAAGAGATCCAACGGTGAATTTAGGTCAACCCCATGAGGTCCTTGGAGGCTTTGGGCATCATCGCTTTCCCTTTGCTCGTCGAAGACGTCCAGCTGGACTGCCAGCTCTGGTTCAGCCTCGGCACATTTCCTGAATTGCATAAAATATGAATAAATAAACAATAGTGAAAATAGTAACAACAAAATTCAGATGAAATAAACAAGTCTCTTAATTGCTTTATTTCTTGGTTTTTACATTTATTTTTAGATTACGTTCGTAATTTACTTTTGATAGGCTACATGTTTGTAATGTATTCACTAACCAGAATTATAACTAGGATCGTTTGAACATTGCTTTCAATTGCATAAATACAAACTGTCTTCAACTTTTTACAGGGCGTGACATACACATCATCATCAAGTTATACAGTATTTTTCTTTGATGTCTCCCTTCCCCATTTGTTTTTTGAGCATGTCAAGATAGCATGTTGGAATGTATGAAAAACTGATGACCAAAATGTGTGATATCGATATTGTTCTTTTGGAGATATGTATCAGAATATCCAATAAGTAGCTGAGAGTTTTCATCTAAAAAGTGTCCCAAAATATGTTATTCTAAAAAGGTAATGATAGATCTTATTAAAATATTGAGCTAAAAGCAAGTCAGTCTAGGAAACGCTCATCTTAGACAGCTGACCAGTCCGCCGTTTTTTACAAAAGTAAGCTGTCAAATTCTCACAAGGACCTTCAAAGTGATGTATCACAGTTGATGTCACATGACCCCCATTTTATTTAAAAACACAATCCAAGACGGCGTCATCTTATAATCTTCAACTGCCTTTTTTTTAACATGAAATACAGTATTCCCGCATTAATCGAGGGAGGGAGCATAAGAAATACTTTATATCATATCTGGGCACATAATACTTTCAGAGCCCATTTATCTATTATATTTAAGATTGTCCAGTATCCCTCTCTTTTGAATACATTCGAAGTTCTTCACAATCCATTTACAGGTATTTCTTTTAAGAGGTAAACAAGAAATCTTGGCATAATAATGAACAGGGATTAGATTGTAGTTTTGGTTTATGTTTAAACACTCCATGATTGAGTAGAGGTGCGAGTATTCACTCCCGATTACATTGAGCCAGTATTCACAGCAGCCGAGCTAGCCTAAATGTCACGAATGCTTGTTTAATTGAAAGAAATATTATTTCTATTATTGACATGTAGGTGATGGTTTTGAATTTGGACAGATAGCAATAAAAAAATTTGAGATGCTACATCATTGTTCTTGCGTCCTTATAATCTCATTCCTCCTACGTTATGTGTATTTCATCAAAACCATGGGTATTATGTTTCCTAATTGAACTTGACCGCTTATTTCCATTTCACAATATCACTACCCACGATGTTTAGTCAAGTAAAAATTGCACAGTTACTCTTCAATGTAAACAAACATAAATATGAAATATCTCGAAGACCACTCATCCGCATTATCATAATCTGCATAAGATTACGTCATATTTTTCATAAACGTGTGGTTTTGCAACGCGTCGTCATGCAAAACAATCACTGTAGGTATAGTAAAGAATCTGTGATAATAGTAAGAATAAGCTCTATGAGTTTTATACAACTACAGTGAAAAAGACGCAGGACCTGTTCAATTCTCAATGTAATTTAGTCTTCCATCTTGTACAACAAAATGGCCGTTCATCAATAGGTACTGAGTGATTTTAGGGCAGAAGACTGATCCGAAGATAATACAAAAAGTTTATATAAACGTTGAAGAATTTCGAAAGCGAAAATATATATCTTGGGTACAGTATTAACTAAAAATTTTGTACACCTAATATTAGCAGCAGAGCTAACAGATACAAGTATTTTTGTGGCCGAGACTACACCAGTGCCGTGGAAATTGAGAAATGTCGATCTCTACAGAAAAAAAAATCATAATTATCGCCACTGACTTTTTTTGGAACATCTTTGCATTTTTGATAAAATATTTAATTTTACATGAATTCTTTCTCTCGGGAAATTGTCGACAGATTATTCCTTTTAGAAAAGAATAGCTTGATATTCATTCAGGTATTCCAAAAAGAAGAACTCGGTGAATCAAGAGGCTGATCTAAATTTGCTCTCCGACACATAATGTAGCACTCAATAACCTTCTTTCTGATGTTATGATATAACATGTGTATCACGAAAACCATGTCGCTTATTTCCGCCCGTCTGTCGAACTGTCTGTCGGTCTGCCTATCCTTGAACCTCCTATATCTTGGGAAGTACCGCTCCGACAAAATTTTTACACAATTTTGCCACTATTCCATGAACGAAAAGGGTTTGAAGTTTTTGAAAATCAGTCCAGTGGCAGCAGAGAAAAAAATTCCAAAGACGAAAATTTAAAATTCGCTCAAACTCCGTTTTCTGAGTTTCATAAGATCCTGATCATTTTTGAAAAAAATTGAGGAGTGGGAGGTTAAAGATGGGTGGAGGAGGGTGTGTCGAATTTCTTTGATGTTAAAATATCGATTCTGACTAACTCTAGTAATTCTACGCAAACTTGGAAAAATATTTTCAGCAAATGGACCGCGTATCTATCGGTACATGTTTGGTAAAGTATTCAAGGAACAAAAGCTGGTAGAAGAGTGACGGCGTGGTGCGGTGACGCCTCGTATGTGCATCGTGGGCGCGATACTATCTATGTGTATACAAGCATTAGGCTTCCAGTGTAATTTATTGAGGTTACTTGATTTCGAGAGGTAATATTATACAGGGTGATTCACCAGTCGTGACTAAAAATGAAACATCAAACACATCCTTGGGGGATTCATTAGTTTAAAAATAAAAAACATTTTTTTTAAATCTTCAAAACAGTCAACTGGAATGAACTAAAATTTGGTATGTGGATTTACCTAAGTGTTGTCCACATTCAAAAGTATTTACTAAAAATTAACGTGCACCAGTGGCGGAGGTACAGGTGATGATTAGTGGCATTATTTTTCCAAATAAAAATATTACGCCACTGTTTTCTTTTCGAAACACGCAATTTATCGAATTTTCCCTTCAATTTGCTACAAATAATTACTCTTATGTTTTTTCCTACAGTGCACTGTTTTCGTAAAAATAAAAATAAAACAAATCAGATCTTTCATAAAGAGCCGAGATACAATTAGTTTCAAAATAAAATAGGAGGCCTTGATACCCGCTTGACGTTTTTTTGGAAATAGTTTGTGGAAGTTATGTGTTATACGGTTGTTATCGTTACTATTATTTTTTTTTTTTGTAAAAGTCAAGTCAAAAGTTTTTTTTCCATTTATGAGTGTTTCTGGCTTCTCAGGAGTATCAACGTAGATTTCCTAACAGACGCCAACCTACCCCAAAGGTTTTTACGCGTTCATTTCTAAGACTTCGGCAATACGAAATTGCCAAACTTCCCGGAGTTAAAGGCCATGTCTGACATAGTGTTCAGGAGGAACTGGAGGTGTTTAATTTGGCGCTGGATGATCCTAGTACAAGTACTAAGCGGTTTGCAGCCCAGTTACCATGTTTCCAAAGTCTTGCGTGGAGAATTTTAAATCGGGAAGTTTTACGTCCTTACCATCGGCAAAATGTGCAATGTCTGCAACCCGGCGACGAAGTGCAGCGGTGAAATTTTTGTGAATGGTTAATGCAAATGCATATTAAAAATGCAGATTTTTATTGATTTGGTTTTGTGGTCAGATGAATCACTTTTTACAAGGAGTGGAATCTTTAATTCTCATAATGAACATATTTGGTCGTTAGAAAACCCCCGTTCTGTAAGAATCCACTCGTTTTAACACAGATTTTCTAGAAATGTCTGGTGCGGCATTTTCAATGGCCAACTGTTTATACACGTATTATCACACCGTTTAAATGTAAACTCATATACTTAGCTTTTCTAGATAATTACATGGAAAATGTGGATGATGTTAGTAACGAAAGTACGAATGTGGTATCAGGACGACTGTGCCCCACCGCAAGTTCGTCGTGACATAACCGCATGGTTATATAATAATTTCTGACAACGATGGATTGGCAGAAACAGACCCGTACATTAGTCTGCGAGGTCTCCTGATTTGAACACCCTGGATTTCTTTTTGTGAGGCGCTTGTAAACAGCTAGTATATGCTGAACAAATTAATACTGTAGATCAGTTATAAAAAAGAATAGATAACGCGTTTCATTAAATTCAAGCCACAACAAATTTTGCGGAGATACGTTTTTCTTTATTAACTTGTATCCGTCAGAATGGTGGTATTTTTGAACATTCATTGGAATAAAGCTTTGATTATCTAATTTGTTTTTTTTTACGAAAACAATGCACTCTAGGAACAAACACAAGAGTAATTATTTGTAGCAAATTGAAGGTAAAATTCGAAAAATTGCGCGTTTCTAAAGAAAAACAGTAGTGTACTATTTTTATTCGGAAAAATAATGACACTAATCCCCTGTATTTCTGCCACTGATGTACGTTTATTTTAAATAAAAACTTTTGAATATGGACAAAATGTGGTCAATCCACATATAAAATTTTAGTTCATTCCAGTTGACTGTTTTGAAGACATTAAAGAAAATTGTTTTTTATTTTTAAACCCTCGAGGAAAAAATGTTACATAGGAAACCCCCCTTAAATGCGATCCTGCGTATGATGTTTAATTTTTGGTTACGACTTGTGAATCACCCTGTATAGTGAGCATCGTTGTACAGTATACGTAGAATATGAGCACGTATCAAGAGCTATTATAACTAGTTATCAAAAATTGTTGACAAACAGTTTTACACCAGAGCTACAGAGAAATGTTTTTTCATGAAAAGCCCAAATAATGCCCTGGCAGTTCCTGCAAGACCGATGTCCTTCTGACGCCATTGCACTGCATGGAAAAGTTGTTTCTAAGTATAATAGTCAGTTTACTTGACGCCATTTTTTACATAATATATCATTCTTTAGAAACTGCATTTATTCTCCATCAAGCGTCTACCGCTATGAACGTCAGTAGACTATTTCAATGCATGCATAGTGTCATATACGTACCTGAGATTATTCAGCACCGGAAGTAGGTGACATCCTGAAAAGAAAAAGAACAGCGTCATGAATGTCAATGTGAATAGGAAGCGGTGCCTGTGCGTATATGGCGGAACATTCTCAAAGATAAGGATTTATATTTAACAGGTATACATGTATAGATATGGAGTGCGGTGACAGGGGCAATAAACTTTATAAACAGTGGCTTTAACGGGGTAGGACAACGTACGAATTATAATTATGAGTATTGCACGCCATTTTGTCATGTTAATGTGACGTCAATCGTTATATGGGGAGTTTGTAAGGAGTAATTTGATTTGATTTTTTGTAAGCCCGATGTATCATGGCAAAGTATCGTTTTTGTGTCTTAGAGTGATGAACATTAACCAAAACTAAATTAGTATGTTGCCGGATATATTTGTATTTGAAAGTACTGACTTCATTTGTTCTTTGTATGAATGTAGATCTCTGTTGTCTCAAGATTAAAAAAAACATCTCAACTCATGTCAGTCATGTCGATAATTCCTAAATTAGCCAATTTCAAACATTTTCGGCAACAAACTAATTCAGTTTTAAATTCTCTTGGTTGATGCTCGCCACCCTTAATGTCACATTTATAAACGTTTCGTCAGGATTTTAAACGAAAATAATGCTTCCTTGAGGGGGATTGAACATATGAATACAGTAGGCTGTCTTTTATGAACTGATGACAGTAGGACTGCGTGGGAAAGGCAGATGCATCTTACTTGACGACATTTTTTATTTCAGCCGTAGTGCTTCACTATTCAAGTTTTGTCTCCGTGGCTACGCAAGAATGAAAAAACAGCCAAGGTGAGCGTATGGCTACGTTTCCATAGATATGTGGGTGTAAGTTCGAATCGGCATTTTATTTCTTAATATTGAAGTGTAGCGTATTATGTAAATTTTTACGGATTTCAATGACAGAATTATTCAACCTATACGTACAAATTAGATTGAGTAAGTTTTATGACCGCCTGCAGTAAGCAGCGACCGACAGCGCAAAAAAACGATTTGCCATTCATTTCGCTCCGGGAATCAAACTAGTCGAGATTTTACGGGCAAAACACGCCATTGCACAACGTCGATGTACGAACAAAAAGACTAGGCGAAAACGTCATGTAAAATGGAACAAAGGCGCCAATACTTTGGCTAGACTACGGATCGAGGAGTTTTTCCAAGCATTGTCTTGAAGATTTCTTGCAAAACTGAACAATTAGTGGAGTAATAATATGTTATTAAAACAGAAAACAAAAAATTACCCAAATTAAGTAGCACATAAGGCATAAACAATTTTGTTTTAAAAAAACCCAGGCCAAATAGTTGAAATAATAATCATAATAAACGGCTTTACTTATAACGACACATTATAAAGGGTGTCCCAGGAATAACACGTCAGAGTGACACGAAAGGTAGATTGGTTTCAGATCAATCAGATAAAGTCAACATGACGTTAGTAAAAGTTTTCGAGATATTGATACTTTAAATTTCTACAAAAAATCCTACTTTTTGCTCTTTTTTGCCTGTCATGGCTATAAAGAACTTCTAACTTATGACTTTTTTCCTGGGTTACCTTTAATAGTTGGTTGAGACAAGCAAGTATTCATTTCACTGAAAATTTGCACGGTATGCTAAATTATTACATTTGAACTATAAATTAAACCTCATTTACCGACATGACTGAACTTTAAAATAATGAATCTATGCATCAACAGGTGTCACTACAGAAAAATATATGAGCAGTGAGCCTTATTTATGCCTGAGCCATATTACCCGAATGTACCTTACTATTTTTTCTCTCCTTTAATTGATGTGTCAGATTTTTTCAGCAAATTAACCCTGGCATCAGTTAGCAAAAGTCGTAAAAACCAATTTCTTACAAAATGGGCAGCCACCGTCCAGTGAGTATTAAAAATGAGCAGCAAATAGTGGAAAATGCTCAGGTCAAGACAATGCTCAAGACACTTGCTTGTCCTAACAAAAATTCATTCTACTTGGCACTATAGCTATGATGATGGACATTGTAAATAAACGTACAGATACATCATCGTTGAACTAGACCTTCATCTCTACCAACCTCCTCTTCCATGTCAGTTGGTCAGTCGAATATAGGTTTTTGACAGCGCGGTATTCACGAGAACTGATGTATAGATTTACGTAAACTGTATGATCTGCTATGATGTATGTGATGTGTATGTATGTATATAACTCAGAGTGTTTGGAGAAATTAGAGAATTACTTTACGAATATTAGAAATTCCTTCCCGTTTTGCTTGTTATGAGCACGAATAATTACGGATGCAATGGTTTCATGTCTCATGCAAATAGCAGATTGTTGTTCATAATGCATTTGTGTCGTTCGAACTGCACTAGGAAGTGCAGACCACCTCAGGGGGTACCGACAGACTGCTGTTATTCGCATTACAAAACCAGAATGCTTCATTACGTTTCTGCATTAAAAATCGGCTAATATGTTACTTTCACAACATGATTATTCGCCGATACACCTGTTACACCATACAGGTTGCAGCATCATTGCTGATCTTTAATACTTGTTATATAGGTCGATTAGAATTCAAAGGAATTTTGTCTTCCACATTACCAAATATCCACTTACTCCTTTCACGGTGAGTTATATGAAAGAGCAATTTCTTGTATTATATTGATTTGATCTTGATGTAAGTAGATGCAGTGTACCTATCTTCTATCCTCATATGAGGTAAGTCTGAGGTAACGATGGAATAGCATCATGATATCGGGAACGGAATGGTTAAAGTTAAGAGTTTGTAAAAAAGCTTGCACAATTTATAGAATTTGACTAATTGGTTTTGAACTATGTAAGAAAGGGCAATTTTGTGAATTTCAGATTTTATGGGGATTTGTAGGGTATTTGAAGTTTGGAAAAAATTGAATTTCAAAATGAAAATTATATTTTGACACTAGGCTAAGTCGTGTAAGTCCCTAAAAGCTAGTCAGCTAGGGGATAACTTACATGTCTTAAGACAATAGCTTCTGTTTTCATGAAGTTGTGAGTCATCTTTTTTGTGGGTGATTTTTGTCCTACGCGGAAGATCTCTAGGGTCCGACAGAAGGTTAGTTTTTTATCTGAAGCCGATGCTCGGCTTTTAACATAACCTTGGTCGAAAGTTGGCTTAATCATAAATAATGAACGTTTTTGTCTCCAAATCTCCTTCTTATAAGTAGTGTGTTTGATATGTAATATTGAATCGAGACTTGTTGAGATTACATAAAACTTGAAAATAATTTGATGAGTATTCATACTTAAACCTAACTAAATTCTGTTACATTCAGATTAGAATATTATAATAATAATAATAATAATAATAATAATAATAATAACTTTATTTCCGGATTAGTAGTACTGGAATTGTCAATTTCAGGTATATCATGTATATATAAACACAAACATAACAAGTAGAATGACTAACATAACATCATAATATGAGACTAACATTGATGAATACAAAAGAGTAAGTACATCATTCAAATACACAATTGAAATATTCCTCAATGCTATAGAAAGCGTTATTCAACATAATTGTTGCCTTAAAAAGAGAGAGACATTTGGTATGGTTTTTATACTTTATTACTTCTTTTTAAAATCATTTAGACATTTAGAGTATCACTTCGAAATTCATGTAGAAGATTCTTGAATAACTTGGCAGCAGAGATGCTCTTTTTGTTAGAAAGACGTGAAGTGCTCAGGTATAACTAATAGTTGACGATTTCTGATAGCCAAATTATTGATGTTTTCGAATTTGTTCAAAAGATATTCTGGCTTCTTATTCACTTAAAATTTTTTGAAACAAAAACTTTGGTATTTTCTGAGATTTTCCATGTACATATTATAATTCTCTTTGTACACGTGGTTTATGTGATCAAATTTCCGCATACCTAGAGAAAAACGGTAACAACAATTTTGTAACCGTTGTAACTTGTCTTTATCACTTTTTATTGTAGCTGGGCCGTATACACTTGCGCAGTATGAAACCCTTGAAATTATAACAGCATCACACAATAGCATTTTCAGTTTACTGCTTAATATATTTACTTGGGGATATATTTGTGTTATAATACATTGGGCCCTTTTGAAGTTAATGACAGACTGTGTGGGCAAATAAATACATCTTATACATTATAAAACTGTAGATATTCTGTAAGAAGTACTGGTACACGACATCAGTGATATCTTAGTTTGTATTGTTTACAGAGCTGAAATAGGAAATAAAATTAGCTGCACATTCGCAGAGCTACAGTGGAAGCCCGTTTTGCTGGTATAATTATCTGAATTTTAACATGTAAAATGAAACATCCAAGTAGAAGTCTGTTATAATAAAAAAAGTGTTGAAACTATTATAAAGTAAGTTGCAATGGTGTTAATCAGAGACAAAAAATAGTAGCATATCAACATCATATAGGAAACTGGCTTTCCTGTTATAGTAGGTAGGTCCTGCAGTATTAAATATTTTAGAAATATATACTGTCAAGCTAACATAATCCTAAACACCTAGTTGTGGCTAACAAAGACGTGTTGACTGAGAACCATTAGTTATACATACATATATAAATTATGTCAATACCTCGTAAACACTCGCTGAAAGGTGTTTCAACTATTCCCAAAGTCGAAGACTACGACCTTTGGCCTGTGGTGAAATCTTCGACCTTTTTAGGCCGAAAATCAAATGTGTAGGTATATTCTTGCGCAAATATGGTCAAAGCTGAAGCCGAAGCTTCGATGGAATACTAAAGATTAATTGATTTACCTTAGTATCAACAAAGAATTGTCAAATATCTATTGACAAATTGAACAGCCTATATGTATGTCGCACATTATTTAGAAAAAATACCTTATTTGTCATAATGGTATGACATGTACATCACGAAAAACCAAGGCACTCATTTCCATCGGTCTGTCTGTTGGTCTGTCTTTCGATATGTCTGTCCGTCTGTATGTCAGCTTGCCTTGGTCCGTCTATAGCTTGGAAAGCACTGCTAGGATTTTGATGGAATTCTTAAACAAGTTACTGCTATAGCAAGAGCTACAAAGTTTTGTAGTATAGTTTCAACGAAGACCTAGTGAATCCGATCTACCTTCCTTTAAATGTCCAGAACAAAAGGTTGTGAATATTGCATATATGGTATAAGTGTGATAAGTTCTGTTATGAAGAAGTGTCTGATTCCTGTAATGTTGCGTACTTATTAGGTGAATTATTCATATTGTCAATACATTTTCCATTGAAACAAAAAAGAGATTGGTTTATATTTTATAGTTTGACATTTAGAACTGTAGAATCTAACTATGTCTCAGTTAAGTGAATATACCTAAGCAAGTGTCACTACAGTCTTCTGAATAAATCTCATCAATTGTTTTTTGTTACTTTTGTAAACATGTGCAGAGTTAACATATTTCTAAAAGGGGCTAATTTGTCCCAATTTAGTGTTGCTAGTCTTGCTAAACATATGTGTTGAGTAGGTCGACGCTATATCTCACATGTAATGGCTTTGATCGATTTGGAAATAAAGGAATATAATCGAATTGATGACATCACTGCGTTGGGAAGTACAAAGTCAACATACTTGACGATATTTTATCTAAGCCATGTATTTTAACAACAAATGTATTCTTATTACCTCATACTACTCCTCATAATGTTTTCGAAGAACTTCATGGCTTGTAACAACGCAAACTGTATTGCTGTTATCAACTATTTGCTATGAAACAGAACTATTACTTACTCTTTATGAGATTATAGTCATTATCAATGATTACTTCCTCGAGCATTGAAGACTGAATGTTTCTAGCAAAATTACAGTAGAATCGAGGAATAATAACGTTTGAAGCCAACAATAATGATCAATTATGTCATTATGAAATGTGATTAATTTATTAAGATGCAATAACAAGTGAATTATTGTTGAAGGCTAGGGCCTTGTTCATTGTCAATTCCAATCTTAAAATATCTTTTGTCTAATTTGTTGCTGTATAAAACTGAATGCTAGTAGAAATCTCACGTTTTTATAATACTTCCTCGCCAGCATGCGGGGAAAGTAATAGTAGTTGACTTCTCATTATTAAGCAGTAAGAGTTGCGCACATGGGCTCATATAAAAATACTAACTTAAATATTCGAAAAGCTTTGAGCTTGTGAAGAACAATCAAGTACTCAAATAAAAAGTGCTGAAAAAAGGTTGTAATACACATTTCATATATCAACTCGAAACTTGAGTTATTTATAGGGACAAAAATCTCCAAGTCTTTCGCTTCGTATCACTACTCCAGTGATTCATCTTTGTCGGCTTACAAGTGTCACACGTTTGCCACAAACAACTTTTACGCGGAGCTTCACCCTCGCTGCATCATATTTTCATACATCACAGGCTGCATTGCAACCGAGTGGGCCTCCACACGGCGACAAGTTTCACGTTTATTAAACGCACCCTGTTAGGAAGATAATTCAGTTTTGTACGCAGAGCTTGAGAAGCTTTCCAGCACACGGGTATTATTATCTTTGAATGGTGTCATCTATTTTGATTCAAAAGTTGTTTGTAGAAGCTGTTGCTTTGGAAGTTTGAACAGGAAATTTTTTTCATAACATGAAAACGATTTAGTTCGGAATAAATGGCGTAAGATATGCTCAACAAACCGAATTTCCAGACTTTCTGAATCGGAAATCCGACAAGAAAAAATGTCATATAAATGGTGAAATGAAACTTAGTTGTAGTGGAAAATGCATTTCTTTGGGTAGGTTTCTGTTAGAACAAATTTGCGCATGTGCCAGAAGTGGATACGGTCATTTTGTGGCACAAGGACTGGAGATAAAAATGCGCTAAGTGACTTGCTCTGTGGAGCTTTCAGTTGGTAACATGTGCACGGCACTTGTATACGAACAAAATGTTGCACATGCCTGGCGCATCGTGCGGAACATTAAATAAGCTGAAAGAACATGGTACGCAACACATGCCATGCATACTGTAATATAGTAATGGGCGCATTGTATATAATCATGTGAAACACACCATCGCATACACCTATACAATTGTTATTGTATACGTCTCGATATTGATATACACAATGTAATAGCAAAAATTGATCTGATTAGGTTGCTTGCATAGGTATATGCAACGCATATAAAAATAACTTTTAAATAATAAGAAAAGGTATAAATGTTTATATACACGTATATTGAATATAGGTATGTATATTTGTTATTCATGTATTCAGGAACATTTCTAAAATAAAATAATTTACATTCTGGAAACAAAGTTAACAATTTGACTGATTTCATTCTGCGAATGTCAGCATCGTCAACATTTAGATTGGCAATGCCGTTATCAATAACTCATTAGGAGTACTACTAACTACTTTTTCTTACTGTAGCGCGCCGATAGCCGCATTTTTACAAAATTTAACTTACTTGTGCCATTGCAAGCGATGTATAGCTAAACTAGACAACTGTGTTGATAGACACAGCACTTGTCAGTATACTATCTTTCATCTTTGAACAAAATGATCTCTAGTTCATCGACTTTCTAATTTTGTTAGCGGGCACCGTATTGTTTTTATAGTTGCCAGTTCACTAATGCATTGCTGTTTGCGAATAAACCCGCTTGCAATTCTCTACGTTGTCTACGCATTGTTCGAGTATATACATTGCAAATGCATTGTCTACATCGAAATGCAGACAATTCAAGTATACGTGTAAACGCTCATCAGTGCATAGACATGTGGCTGCAACTTGTTAAGTTGGAAACGTACTGTTTCCAGTATCTACTCACCTATAAATTCGTTCCTTAAGCGGATCCTGTCATTCAGCCTTTGAGTGGATATGATGAAGCAGTTTATGAATGCCACTAAAGATGTCTGGTAGTCAACCGATGTTGCTCGGTCCAACTCCTTCACTATCACCGACAGTCTATACCTCTCATTTTTCAATTTCTGAAACAAACATAATTAGAAAGAATTATTAAACGATAATTTTCGTCTATCTTATAATGATAATATATCATTATTATAACCTGGAATATGGTTTTCTTTCAATCACATATTTCACATGTTGGTATTATAGCGAAGCTAATTAAAAGGTGAAATGGATATAGAAGCCTAAGTAATTAAGTAAATTTTTGTTTGTAATATTACTCAACATCATAAACATGCGTTATCTGATTGTATTGGGTTCGTTCAAAATATAACCTGAGTAGTTCACTGCTTGAGAGCATATCTTATTGAATACTCGCAGATACTATACTAATAACTCTACCTGACACAATAGGTATCCTTATTTAAATTCAGTGTTTCCAAAGTATAACTGACTGATTTAAATTGCGCGCCATTTTTTATACACGCATTTCAGTAGGTGGTGGCGTAGTAGTTGTTTGAAGCACATGTCTCCAATTCATCATGGAGCGCTACACGATCCCACAATGTGTCCGTATTGTTAAAACGTTTGTCTTAAATAATGAGTCGATTGTTGTAACGATTAGGAAGCTACGACAAGATTTCGGTCGAAATAATGTGCCCAGTGTCAACACCATTCGTCAGTTGGTGAGGAAATTTGAACAAACAGGTGAAGTTAAAGAATTGCTAAGGTCGGGCCGTGTTCGAACTGTTCGTACTCCGGAAAGTATCGAGAGAGATCGTGAAAGTGTAGTGGACCGCCCTGAGACGTCTACTAGACATCGTTCTCAACAACTGGGTATTCGTCGCACGTCATTGAAAAAGACTTGCATTCGCGGTCAAAATTCAGTCAACCCAAGAACTACAGTCTAGTGAACATGAAAGTCGGCGACAATACACTCATGCAATATTGCAGCTTAATACCCAAAATAACGATTTTTACTGACAACTGATAATGAGCGATGAAGCCTACTTCGATATGAACGGATTTGTTAATAAGCAAAATTGTCGTTTCTGGGCATTAGATAACCTTCGTGGCATCCATCAACAACCACTTATCATTGTCGAGTCACAGTTTGCTGCGGTGTTTGGTATAGAGGTGTCATTGGACCTTACTTCTTTGAAGACGCTGCAGATAATTCTCTTACGGTAGTTTGCACCGCTTTGGGTTAAAGGTTAGGGTTACTTAACTCGGAGTTAGCGGTAACCCCAGGTTAAATTCGAGTAGCTTTGCACCGTCAAGGTTTAACTCTGGGTTTATAAACCCCGACTTTTAGTCATGTTTGCAAGCTTGGAATATAGGGATATTTCTTAGAATCAATATATTTATTGGCAATATTGCCACAAAGTCTAGTTCTGTGCTAAAAGTTTGTTGATTTGTGCTGGAATTTGAAAGATTGACGTATCTACATTTTGACATTTTGGTACTTGTGTTTTGTATTCAGTTTCTTTGCTATTTGTTCGAGTATCGTTTGTGTTTGATTTGGCTGGATAAAATATTTTCAAATTCCCAACTTCCAAACAGAATCACAAATATATATAACGGGTCTTTTTTTACAGGTATAGAACTTTAAATTGCAATAAAACAACGATGGATTATTCGATTGACATGCATTTTTTTTATTCAAAAGATAATCTTGTGGCATTACATTTTAAATATGATTTCTGGCATGTGACCGCTACGGCTGGCTCGGATGTAGTCCAATCTGGACGTCCAATTTTTGATGACTTTTTCCAACATTTGTGGCCGTATATCGGCAATAACATGACGGATGTTGTCTTCCAAATGGTCAAGCGATTGTGGCTTATCCGCATAGACCAATGACTTTACATAGCCCCACAGACAATAGTCTAGCGGTGTTAAATCACAAGATCTTGGAGGACAATTCACAGGTCCAAAACGTGAAATTAGGCGGTCACCAAACGTGTCTTTCAATAAATCGATTGTAGTACGGGCTGTGTGACATGTTGCGCCGGCTTGTTGGAACCACAGCTCCTGGACATCATGATTGTTCAATTCAGGAATGAAAAAGTTAGTAATCATGGCCATTCAACCAGAAGTGTGCTTCATCGCTCAACAAAATTCACTTATGAAAATCGGGAACAACGGCAATCTCGTTTTGGGCCCATTCAACGAATCTACGCCTTGCTTGATGATCGTTTGGCTTCAATTCTTGCACGAGTTGGAATTTGTAAGTACGCAAGCCAAGATCCTTCCGCAAAATCTTCTATAAAGTGGATGGACACAGATCCAATTCCTGTGCTCGATGGCGGATGGACTCATTCGGGTCTTCCTCAATGCTACGTTCTACAGTAGCAATAGCTTCTTCTGTACGCACCGTACGGCGTCTCTGGGGATGCGAGTTATCAATTAGAGTAAACGTGGTGCGAAAACGTTCCATGGTTAATCGAATTAACTGCTCTGATGGACGATTTTGTCGACGATAAAATGGACGTAGTGCGCGATACGTATTCCGCACAGAACCAATATTTTCGAAATAAAACTGCACAATTTACAAGCGTTGTTCAGGCGTGAGTCTATTCATGACGAATTTCCAAACCACACTGAGATTAAATCAATTGACAGTTGTCAAATCGGTCGCCATCTTCAAAAGTACTGCCAGCTTAAAGTTCTATACCTCGAAAAAAGAAATACCCTATATATCACAAATATGGCGTTTGTTTTGGTTAATATCGAGATTATCAACGCTGATGCAAATATATATACAGGGTGACTTTGAAGTTGAGTCATTAATTTTCAGATAATGATTGTAGAAGGAAGATAAACCAAAATATGTGTGTAAAAATAAAAAAAAATTAAAAAAAAATTTTACCTTGTTTTATAAAGTATCCTCCCGACAAGTATTTCAGTGCGGACCTGTATTTGATCGTGAGGTCTTGGAGCACCGGCATGCCGTCCATATGTGAGGTCTTAAGTCAAATGATTCACGAACCCGTTGTACTACATTAACAAAGGCACGAGGGGTTGAGACAGGGCGGTACTCAAACTTCCAAAGGGCTGTAACTTTGTTACTTTAATTTTACCAGAAAAATGGTAAAGGAAAAAAACATTTCTTTTGATCAGATCTACTCACTGTTAAAATAAATGACTCAACTTCGAAGTATATATATATATATATTTGTAATTCTCTTGGAAGTTGGGAATTTGAAAATATTTTTTGCTGTGGATCGACAAGTCGCATCATACAGCCGACAGCATTGTCCACAATGCACCCTGGTAATTATGGACGTAACCATAAATAATGAAGAATTCGACGAGGATGACCTTATTCCTCTGGAATGAAATCTAATCAGCCCAACAAACAGTTACAAGAACCAATATTAGAGAGTTTTAGCAGTCACAAATTTGGTTCCATAAGCGTTAAAAGAACGTCATTTGACATTTAAGTATTAACCTCTTTTTTATTATCGGCACGCATTGCGATGCGCAGGTATTGCTTCACATTTTCATGGTGCTATCCGCCTTAACACCTAGTTCAAGTGAGAGGTAAATTTATCCCAGAGTTAGACCTTAACTCCGAGATAACTATGACGGTGCAAAGACTAACTGGAAGTTAGCGCTAACCTTCACTTTAACCCGAAGCGGTGCAAACCACCGTTACTGTCACTGGCGAGCGTGATATGGTGCAAAGCTTTCTGGCTTCTCAAATCCTACAATTTAACCTGCAAAACAGCAGGACGGAACAACTTTTCACACAGCTAGGGAAACAATGAATCTTTTGCGAACACTATTTCCGGCACGTTTAATTTCTCGATTTGGCGATGATAACTGGCCATCAAGGTCACCGGATTTAACGGCTACTGATTTTTTTATTGGGATTTTTTGAAAATAGGGTTTATGTCAAGAAACCAAATACTGGAGAGCAGCTGAAGAACAATATTACGGAGGCGATTGAAAATATTACTCCCGAAGTCTACCAAAAAGTGATGGAAAATGTAATCAAGAGGGCTCAGGTTTGTGCGACTTCCAGAGGTGGAAATCTGTCTGATATTATTTTTTATACATAATTTCTAAGTTTCAATAAAAGATTAAGATGGAAAAAAATAAATATTATATTAAAAATATTTTATTTCATTGCACAAATATTCAAGATACAAACCAGTCGGTTACAATATCGGCCACCCTGTATAAAAATATACTTCATTATATGTATGGTAGAAAATTCTGATATCTCCAGAATGATGGACGATGAAATTGGAGCTGGGAAATTTTAAAATAGTATACAAGTATGTTTGTGGTCAGTGAAAAAATGTCATCGTACCACTATAATATTTTAGTATTTCTGGAAAACGTCATACATCTCTGTAGACAAGAATCATAACCAGTTACCCTCAGCCAACATCATGTCGAATGAGGTGTGCTACGCGTAATAGATCACAATTGACTTTGAAAAACAGAAACTCTCTTTCGCCAACAGCGTTTCATGCTTTCCCGCCGTATCAGGTTTTTTTGATTGCTGCCTGCTTGTCTGAATATTTTGTGTGTCAGTGCAAATGTCTACACTACAAGATCTATACACTTGATCCTAAAAAAACAAAAATTTCGATATAAGCGGATGAGAAATTGTTTTTTTAGATGACTGCACCAGAAGGGGGATTATGTTTTGCGCGTGTGGGTATGTGAAAAAAAATATCACAGTCTATAGTCCAAACGGCTTGAAGGATTTGGACATATACGTATATAAGATTCGCATTAGCAGCGCGAGTGAAGCTGATCATATTAAAATTTTATAAAAACAATACGGTGGATTTTGATCTAAAATGTTCATCTTCCATTATTCTTTATCACAGTCCAGAGCTTAAATGGCTTGATAGATTTTGACGTATATCTGAAGTGTTGGCAGTGCGAGTGACGCTAGGTATACGAAAACTCTATAAAACCAAAATGACAGATTTTAATCTGAAATCTGAAATTTGTAATTTCTATTTCACGCCATACATCTTAAGCGACTTGATGGATTTTTACATACTATGTGTCTTAGATTTATCTTGACAGTGCGAGTGGCTGCACTAAAATGTCG